CAAATTGTCTGTGCACTTAAATGTCACCCATAAGTCACTTCCACATTTTGCATTGCAAATAATGTCTCATGATTGTGTTTTTTTATTTTTGTATGTAAATCTAAAAAATTGTATACATGCAGACTCCTTTGTTCACTCTTTTTCTGCTAGTTTCTCCAACAATGACACTTCACTTTCACCTACATCACCTGGTATTTGTTCTAAGTTGCAAATATCACCCGGTAAGACAAAATATTGGATTCCCAATTGTAATGATGATGTCAAGCCATATAGTGGTCAGATGTTTAAAAGTTTGAAAGAGGGTATTGCATATTACAAGGAGTATGCTGCAATTACTGGTTTTGGTATTCGCCTCAGCACTTCTTCAAAAGCTAGGGATGGCACATTAAAGTTGAAGTATGTCGTTTGTAGTAGAGCGGGATTTAAAGAGAATGTAAATAGCCAAACACCTAAAAACCACATGGTGGCATACCAAAGCAACCATGCTGAGGATCCCAATCCTAAAAAGAGATGTCAGTTATCAAATATAATTGGTTGTAAAGCACGCATTGCATTCAAATTGTGTGGCCTTCGTGGATACTCGGTGTTTGGCTTTGAAGAGCGTCATAATCATCCTATGACATCTACTTTAGCGAAACCATTTTTAAAGGTGAATAGGAGTTTGGATATTGGCCACCAAAAGTTCATTGTGAACTGTACAAAGGCTAATATCGGCCATGAAATGTTATAGATTATATAAGGAATCCGTGAGTGGATATTCTAATATTGGTGCAACGGCCGTTGACTTTAAAAACTTTAAAAGGGATTTGCAGGCATACATTGTTGGTGTAGATGCACATATGCTAATTGAGAAGCTTTTTAGAAAAAAAGAAGTTTGTTCCACATTTTTTTAATTATGACGTTGATGAAAATGACCAATTGACTAGGCTTTTCTGGTGCGACCCTACTGCGAGGTTGAACTATACCTTGTTTGGTGATGTTGTTTCGTTTGATGCAACATATGGAACAAACAGGTAATTAATTTTTTAATGTCATGTTATTATTATTATTTGAATTTTTGTAGATCCACTATTTCAACTTTCATCCACTGTGTGCTTATTTGACAGCCATTACTCCACTGTTTCACTAGCCAATAAAATTGAGTAAATTTATATCGGAAAACAGGCTCTTTTATTTACACAAACATGCTTACATTTTAAAATAATGTATACTTATTTATGATGTATACATCTTATATTTTAATATAAATGATCTGGTTTTAATGAACTCTATCACATTCATGCAGGTACAATATGGTGTTTGCTCCATTCACAGGTGTTGACAATCACAAGAAATGTGTTACTTTCGGAGCTTCTGCACACAATTAAACATTTTAAAATAATGTATACTTATTTATGATGTATACATCTTATATTTTAATATAAATGAACTGTTAAAGGAGGACGTGGAATCATATGTGTGGATTTTTAGACAATTTCTTGATGCAATGGGCCGTGAACCAGTTTGTCTTGTCACTCATCAAGACCCGTCCATGAAAATTGCATTCACTAAGGTGTTCACATCATCTTCCCATTGCTTTTGCATGTGGCATATAATGTCTAAAGTGTCATCCAAGGTCGGTCCTTTTTTGAGTAAGAACCGTGATTTCATGTCTAAACTAAACTATGTTGTTTGGAGCCATTATCTTGAACCTGATGTCTTTGAGAAAAAATGGACCCTTTATAATGGAGGAATTTGACTTGCAAAATCATGTTTGGTTTTCAAACATGCATGAGATCCGCAAGGATTGGATTCTTTCTTATTTTAGGGATTTGTACATGGCTGGGTTACTTCATACAACATCAAGATCTCAGAGTGAGAACATCTTTTTTGGTGAATTTTCCAATCTGCACTTTAGTTTGGTTGAATTCTATATGCAATTTGAGAGTGCCATGGATGCACAACGACACTGTAATGCTAAACTAAATGCTGATTGTGAGTCTTACCTTCCAACCTACAAGATGCCACTAGCTATCAAAAGATATGCCGCAACAGTATACACACTCTATTTTTGAGATGTACAGTCTAAGATTTGTTCCGCGTGTTTTTCATGCCGCGTTACAAGCCTACGTGAGGAGGAAGGTTGTTTGGAGTATTTGATCTCAGACGAACGTGGTTTGACTTGCAGCTGCAAATATTTTCTACGACTGGGTTTGGTTTGCAAGCACATATTCGTTGTCCTCAAAGACTTCAAATCTGAATGCATCCCAGATGACCTCTTAAACACACGCTGGTTTAAGAAAGGTTGTATAAAGCCATTGTTTGATATCGGTGACACAGTGGTTGAAAAAAGTGCAGCCTTGGAGGAAAAGAAGTTGGGATCACCTATGTTATCCTACTGAGGAGGGTGGACTAGGGATCAGATAACTCACTGACATTGAAAAGGCTTTTTCTCTCAAACTTTGGTGGAAATGGAAAACAGGGAAGTCTATTTTGACTGACTTTGTAAAGAGTAAATATGACAGAGCTGAAATGTTACCTAAAATTACTGATTCTTCTGTGTGGAGAAGGATATGTCATATACATGATTATGCCTCCTCTATGTGCTCTCAATCCTCCTTTGGAACTATCACCTGGAATGAGGAAACGAATGGTAAATTCTCATTGAAGTCTGCATACAATGAAGTGAGAAACAACAATCTGCCTACCTTTTCTTTCAAGCATCTCTGGAACCCAAAACAAGAGCTTAAAATCACCCTTTTGCAATGGAAGATCCTCAAAAATATTCTGCCTTTCCCTGAAAAATTAAACCAGTTTCATATCATATCAAACCCATCTATTTGTCATCTTTGCAGGAATAGTAGTCCATCCTTGGACCATGTATTCTACCATTGTGAAACTGTGAAACCTATATGGGATTATTTCATGAGCATTTTAGGTATTCCTATACCTAGGGGCAACTTATGTATCAGTCAGGTTTTCAGGAGTTGTTGGCTCCGGGTAGGTTCTTCGGATTTACTGGATTATTTCAGGCATAATATCTCATGAATCATCTCCTGGCATATCTGGAAGGTCTTTTCTAATTTTCAATGGGGAGAAGGAAATGCCAATTTCTGTACTGCAGGAATCATCCTTGCTATAAAACACTACACTCAGGCATGGAGCCATACTCTGAAGGGGGCTAAAATTCATTCGGTGGACACAATTTTGTATGAGGAAAATCTAATTCCAAAGAAATTCCGAAGTAAAAATTATAGTATGCAGATCTTAAAATGGAGTAAGCCGAAAGAAATGTTGAAACTAAATACTGATGCTCGTTACTTATCTGGCTTGGCTGCGGGATGTGCTATTCTGAGGAATCAAAGTGGCCATCTTCTTTGTGCGGTCAGCTTTGAGGTGGAGGCTTCATCTACGTTGGAAACGGAACTGAAGACAATTTCTAAAGCTATTCGGTGGGCGATTAGTGCGGGTTACCGTGATTTTGAGGTGGAAATAGATTCAGCTGTGGCGGTTAGCTTTCTCCTGGACCCTGATGTGCGAAGATGGAGAGACCTAATTAGGGAAACTCTACAGACATCGAATAGGAAAGGTCTATCCTTTCGACATGCCTATCGGGAAGTTAATGGTGCAAGCCCACTTTTTGGCCCAATCTCATTCGGGCCTAACGAAAGAATATAATAGTCCACATAGTTTACCTCCGATGGCAAGACAGGCCCTTTTAATGGACTTTTTTGGCATTGCTTCGCGGCGTTTTCATTAGTCCTTCCTATACTTTTTTGTTTCTCTTTTTGGTTTACAAGGTTTTGGTCTAGTCCCCCTTGTTTTTTGTACTTCACATTATTTTTAATAATAATTCTGGTATCTGACTCCCGGCATTTACCCCACCTAAACTTGAGTCAATGTTCTTCACCCCCCTCAAGCACACAACAAGGGTTCGGGTAAGAGAATTAAAGGTGCTAAGGAGTTGGTTGTTGCTCAGAGCCAACGTGCGAAGCGTTTGTGCAGAAGTTGCAATGAAATGGCATTTCATGATAGTAGAAATTGTCCAAAGAATAGTACCCTTTAAGAAGCTTCCGGTTGCATGTTTTAAATTTAAATGTTTACATTTTCCACTTTTTATGAATACTTCAGTTTTTGTATCAACCATCATTCCCAATAAATTTTATGACTTTCAGAATTCAGTTTTATGTATTTTCCCCACAAATTTATATTACTATTTCAAATTTCATTGTTATTATTGTCTACAAATGTATTGGCCTTCACGTTTATTTTAAATCGTCAATTGTTCACTTTTGCTAACTTATTATTCACTTTTATTACATCTGCATTCTCCTTTTACAATAGCCACTCTAATAACCAGTATTACCATATACAAACATTGACGATCAGGACTTTTTAGTGCACATTTATGAAAGAAAAAATTCAACTTTTGGTCCCATAACTATTATACCACTTCCACATTTAGTCCCTTACTTTCATATTATCCACATTTAGTCCGTGACCATTATCCCCTCACCACCCCTCGTCCTTCTGGCCAACATTCCGGCAAATTTAGTCCACTTATCAGCCTCAGAATCAGTCTTTGCATTAAATTTTATATAAGGTTGGGTTTTTCATATCAGTCTTTGTATTAAATTTGGTTTTTCATACCTAAAATCTGCATTAAATTTGCCGGAATTTTGGCCGGAAAAACGAGGGGTGGTTAGGGGATAATGGTCACGGACAAAATGTGGACAATCTGAAAGTAAGAGACTAAATGTGGAAGTGGTATAATAGTCATGAGACCAAAAGTGGAATTTTTTCAGATTATGAAATAATTTCAAACTTTTTTACATACACTTTTACTGGACGTACTATGCACTTCTATTTCATTACCATTCTACTATTTCGAAGTCCCCTTCAATACACAGATTTACTATAAACCACACAAACCATAAAAGGATTTATGGTGTACGTTCCTACATAACAAGTGTGCATATTATTCATTCAATGATCGCAAATAGACAAATATTCACTATTAAGCTCGTAGTTTTCACTTATATATCTCTCATGAAATCATATTCATTCACCTAATGCAATGCACATTGTTCACACTCCAACATAAACCCCAAAAAACAGTGCAAACAGACTATAGTAGTATGACTTGACGTTTTTCATAATAGGCCTAATAAAACCAACAGAATAAGTGTTTCAACACACCAAAACCAAACACAAACATTCATTGTTTTTAAAACTAATAAATCACTTATTCGTCTTCAACTTCGCATACTCTTTTGTCTTGAATAAATTCTCCATCTTCATCTCATTTATTTCCTCCAGTAACACAAATGCTGTGTATTTAACCCTTAGTCCTAATAACTGCTTCTTGTCATCATGTCTAAGGCCACAATCCCACCCCATCAGTCCTTCTCCTTTATACGTCTCAATATGACGCATTGCAAACACACCATAATCGATGACGTTAGTCGTATCCCTCCAAGACATGGAAATTCTGGTTGGTTTTATCTTTGCTAACAGTGATGCTCTTTTCTCCATTCCTTTTGCTGTCATGTACTACACAAATGCTGACACCTTTAATTGATTATATTAAACCCAATTAGCAAACCATTTTTCTTCTCTTTGTGTTATCTAGTTCTAGTAATGTGAATTATATAAATTTCAAATTCATATTGTTAAAATATACTTACCACAGTTGCAGGCATTTCTTCATATTTATCCCTGTTTGAGACTCTAGCAGATGAGTTATCTAATATGTCTATTCTCTTGCGCTTGATATTGATGCAAATGACGTAGTAATGCCTCATTTGCATTATAGGGAAAAAGAACTGCACAAAAAACGAACAAGAATTTGAATTTAAATGTTTTTGATACACTTCAACAAGGCACCATAAAACAAATCACTTACTAGATCTATTTTGTCCAGCTCAACCTCCTGCCTCACCACATCCAGTTCAAACTCCACTGCATCAGTTAGTATGTTATATGCCTCCTCTTTGGTTTTTATCACCTCATCAGCCATTGTGTACAACTGCAATTAATTCCAAGTATTTACACTAAGCCTTGTAACATTATACATCTATTAAAATCACCCATGTCACTTACACAATTCATGGTCTTTGCAAAGAACCGGGAAGGCGAGAAGCTACTCCTGTTTTTCTCTCTATAGTTTAGAGTAGTTACCCAAACATTCAAAACATGCTCATTGATCTTACATCCTACCTTTATTGTCATCAAATCCTCCCGCGTGACATTGTAGTCCTTATATTTGAACACAATCTCTTTCCTGTGCATTTAAACAATCACATTTTTTGAATTAATATGTACTAAACAAATAAAAACTTACATGTCACCTCCTTTCTCTTGCAATAGCCATCTCGCCATCTCCCGCTCAAACATCTTGGTAGGTTCTCCTGCATCAACCACTCTTGACACGTATGGTGACTTCAGAAACTGTGTTGTCTTATGTTTTCTCTTCTGTAGATCATCTACAACATCAACCTGCTTTTCTTTTCCTTCGGTTTGTATATATACCTTAAAATATAAATAATAACATAAAGGTTGTCAATCAATCACATTCTTCACAGGCAGTTAATTTTACTGTCAGTATATTATTTTGATTAATCACATTGCCTATATCCACATTCAATTACTAATATGCTGTTTTTACTAACCTTAACAAACTCCTCCTCATGCATATTTTTGGGAATCACATGGTCACCCTCAGCATCCTATTGTGTCAAGCCTATACTGAAGCTAGGTAGTTCACTTATTTTGTCTGGGTCATTTGACTTTTGGACAAAAACATTTGCAACCTTGTCGAGTGTGGATATATTCACTGGGTTCAACCAGAATGCATCAACCTCGTTCATTTGAGTTGCTTGCAATGCAGTTGGTGTGCACTCAACTATGCTCACTGTGTTTAGTTCCAACAATTTCTTTGCAGCATCTAGAATTTTAACAAAATGATCACTACCCCCAACGGCTTCTCGTGCCTCTTCAAACATCTTGACTATGTCACTTGTTATTGCAACAATGACATTTGTTTTTCTTGCAAACTTGTCAATCAATTCCTGCTATTACATGTAAATATAACTTAATTTTAGGCTACATTTAATTCACAGCATACACTTATAGTAATTATCGTTCCATTTAACACACCTATCAAGTTTCATTTACAAACTATACATGACATACCTCAGCCATACTGTCTTCACACTCTACGCCAGCATGCTCTGTTATGTTGCCATCCTCGTTCTTCTAATCTCTGCCGTTTCTTTCTTTCTTCACAGGGCCATCGACATGCCCAAACCCAAATCCTCCTGATTTGACTTCATCATTCTCCCGATCCCTCAACAGTTTTGTTGTCCATCCTTTGATTGTTGGACACATCCGGGGAACCTTTCTTTTATACGAACAACTCTGTCCACATAAAACATCTACATCAAAGATATCATTGTCATCAAGCTAAACCACATTAATTTTCATTTAAACAAATATATTCATAATATAAATTATTTTTAAACCTACATATGTCTTACCAGCAAGAATAATAGCGGTCCAGTGAAGCTTTTGTTCATATTACTGTCCCATGTCATTTTGTTTTCTATCAAACAATTTATAACATAGCCACACCAATTCATCTTTTTAATGGCCTTCACATCCACCAAATTGTTGAGAATTAACGGATTTGCATACCCATTCTATGTACTGTCCACCAAAAGTGACACAACAAGAACCAAACAATGATGCACAAACCAGTCACCCGCATTATATATATATATATATATATATGCCCTTTTGACGCGGTGGCATTTCCGTAATTACGATGGAGAGTTTTATAAGTTATGATTTATTGGTTATAAGTTCCTATATTCAGTCTATAAGTTTACTGCGTTGCAAGATCACATGCAAATCCAAGGGCTAAGATTACTTCTCACTTCTCATTTTAAGGGGGACTTCTCACCTGATCTTTTCTCTATGTATATATATACACACACACACACATGTACATATATATATATACATGTACATATATATATACACTTACATGTACCAATCTCAGCTTCACCGGGTTTGTTAGAAGCAAATTTAGCAGTTGAAAACTATGAAATACAACTTACAGTGCAGATTGGAAACCAAACTTTTTGATAGCATTTTAATGATAAAAATCTCCATTTGAGTTCAGAGATGAAGGTGAGGAGAAGGTATTTGAGTTCGGTAAAGGGATAATTACTTACGGTGAAGGAGAGCCGTAGACTTAATTTGATCCGGTGAGTTCAACGGAAGTCACATACTTCAGTGTAGACATATTTCAACGAAGAAGGCGTCCTTTTTCATTTCGTGAAAGTCCTCGGCGGAAGTAAGGGATGGAGGTGTCAGGTGTGACGACATATAAACTTCTGACGAAATTGCTCTGTTGCGCTAGCAGAGATTTGCATTTAAATGGAGCCTTTGATCTACGTTAATCGGACGACAACGATTGCTTCTCACTTTTTAGCCTAATGAGACTTCTCATCAGATTCATTCCCCCCCCCCCCCCACACACACACACACACATATATATATATATATATATATATATATATCACAAATATTTACCTCCGGCCGGTTCGGAGGAATACCCTGTCCGGCCACCTCAATTTGAGGTGGTTCCGGGGGTATTTTTGGCTGAAATTTTTTGTGTATGTTATTCATCAAGTCTTGTTCATCCATACCAAATTTGAGTAAAAAATTCAACCGGAAGGTCGTCAAATGATTTTTGCATGAAAACTGCATTTTATATATATATTCCGGACCAGTTTTCAGGATGACAGGATGTCGCATTTGCTTTGGAACCTTATGGGTGATGCTTATGTTGTGAACCTTTGGAAGTAATAAATTTGGAAAACGGGAGTCCTTGAATGAATTATAATTAAAACCACCTCTAGATATGACGAATTCAAATAATTGAACTGATATTCATTTTAAATTGAGTTTCAATTATTATTTTGTTAATTATCTTTCAAAACCTCCCAAATCGGGATAACTTAAAAATTGGGCATTTGGAGGGTTTGTTAGGGTAACAAAAGCCCCCCAAAAACCACCCTTTCAATTTTTTAAACTCCCAAACATGAAAAGGATGATCATAATCCCCACCAACCTTCATCTCCCCTCCAAAACCCAACTCCCAAACATATCCATAGGATATTATGATTTAAACCTGGTCGCATGTCCAAATAGCTGATGATTGGTGATGAGATTATTTGTTTATTTGGGGAGTATGAAAATAAAGAAACAAACAATTTCTCACCTTTTCTCTAAGGCTAAATATCACTTCATGACATCTAGAACATGTGAACTTATTTACCTGACTCTCCTTACCTCTCTTGTTGTTCTTCATCTTCAGGCTTCAGCCCATCTTTATTGTGACATTAGTTCTAGTCTTCACATTGCCTCACAGATCACATCACATTATTTCACGAACATACAAAACATATCAAGTTTGTTTGTCATTTATTTCTGATCATGTTCATGCCGACCTTATTTCCCTGAAACATCTTTTTATAACTTTAATTTTTACAACTGTAATACTGAATAACTGATGGACATATTTACCGAAATTCTCAAGTCACACGAATTTAAACATTTACTATCCGACCTAGGGATGGACCCGGGCCGGTCCGGTTCCGGGCTGGCCTCGGGCGGGTTTTTTTTGCAAATCCTTGGGCCCGGAACCGGCCCGGGTTGATACCGGGTCCGGTTCAATGTCTAATTTTTTTTTTTGCTTTCTTGTTATCCCCCGACCCCCCCCCCCACCCCTACCCTAGGAAAAGAAAAAATTTGAAAAAAAAAAATTGACCTAGGCCCAGCCCGAACCGGTTCGCCCAAAACTAGGCCCAAGCCCGGCCCACCCGACCCGCCCAAACGGGCTAAAGCCCAGAACCGGTCAACCGGTCCCGGTCCGGTCCGGGCCCGCACAGTAGCGGGCCGGGCCGATTCCGGGCCGGGCCGGCCCGGCCCAGTTTAGTCCATCCCTAATCCGACCTACGCATACGCAATTATCACATTCTACCTTGAAGGGTGTAGAGAATAGAATATATGTATATATCTATTTCTTTTAATATATTCAGTGAATTATTGCTCTTTTGTGTACTCTAGGAAGCTTCCCTTGTCTAGTACACTTGTACAGTTGTACTACTGTCCATGTGAGTTTTATTACTCTCGGCCTATCGGGTATAAATGCATATCACTAGAAATAGATTTTCTCCCTACTCATATAGTCATATTTGCCTTGAGCAGTTCTCGTAGTTTTACTTAAATGTGGGCTTCATGAGGTTAACGATTAAATCTACCAATTCTAATTTGACATCTTTCTACTGATTCATTTCACAAATACGAAGAAAAATAACTTGCATAATCTAAACCATTGTAATCCTATTTCCAGCTGAAGCATGTAAATAATACAGAACAATAATTAGCCTAACAGTGCCAAAGAATACTTGCTATTTCTATTTTTGCTGATTTTGCATCTGGAAAGCAATTGAGGGCGGGTGTTATTTGCTGGCTCTATCATCTTTCCTCCCTGCAAGAATCATGGAAATCTGGAGGCCTCTACTGAAAGCTTGATTGAAGAGCAATCTTGTCTGGAATTCTGAAACAAATGGGAACCAAGAAAAGATGACTGTAGGCAAGAAGATTACAAGTCCCATTATACACTCATATGCTCTTCCCAACTCCCTGACTGAGTCCCACACTCTGACCCTACTTAGACATGGCCTGCATGCTTGTCCAATCTGTAGACAAGACAGAGAGAGCAGTCTGTCGTGTCAGTATCTATTTACTGAGAATGCGGAGAAGCTTATGTACAAGTGTACAACAACAATAACCAAGTCATGATCCCAAAGAGTTTGTACTCAGCTAATATGAATCGACACATGACGTTGAAAATAATAAATAGATAAAAAGGGAGATAAGCAAAATCAGATAATCCTCCACACATATACTTTTCCTTCACTTCGCTCTCTCCAAAGTCACTCTCATCTAACCCAAAAGTACCATATCATTCTTGACCACTCTAATAATACACCCTTATCTATACGTTGCCCTTATTGAAGGAAATAAATAATTGACATTTAAGACATAATATTGCATTTAGCCGTTACATATCTCTATCATTATTATTGTATTATTACCTACCTTATAGACTTGATTAGTGATTGTATAAATAGCACCTATTGTAAAGCCTTTTGATCATGATTGAATATACGAAAATCATTTGCTCCTCTCCTTTGTAATGGTATCAAAGCCTCTGAGCTCTAACCAGCCCCTTTCCTCTTCCCTATGACAACAAACGACAGCCAGCCTGAGGTTCTCCTTCAGCAAGGAAACCTAGACAACATCCCTACCAGTACACCTATCCCTTCAAATACCCCTCCAACCTCAGTTGCAACACCTCTCACCCCAGATGGATTAATCCTGTTAAATCCCAGTCACTTCCCAGAAAAACTTGATGGTTCAAATTACCTGGTATGGCGGGATCAGATTCTGGATCTTCTTTTTGGGTCGCATCTTGATCAGTTTATATCTGTTGATGCTACCCCACCACCGACGAGTGATGTTGATGGCCATCTCCGGTGGACTAGGCAAGATCGGCTTATCCGACATGCCCTCGTAGCCTCCCTGAATTCAACCTGTAAACCTTTGATTGGGTCTGCTCGCACATCTGCCGCAGTTTGGAAGACTCTAGAGGAACTCTATGGGACTCGTTCTCCATCCCAAATCCGCAACATGAAGGACACCTTCCGCCACTACCGACAAGGCTCTCAACCAGTGGGAGCGTATCTCCATCACCTGCGCACGCTCGCAAATGAGTTGGCTCAGGCCGGCCACCCTGTTGACGAAGAAGACTTCGTCGTTCAAGCACTGGAGGGACTCCGACCTGAGTTCGCATCGTTTGCTAACTCCATTCGTACCTGCAGCGACCACAACTTTAAGACGATCCATACACTGCTCACTGGCTTCGAAGACTCCTTGAAGCGGAAAGAAGAAGAAGTTAATTCCTCCGTCGTTGTGGCGACGGCTAATAACGTGAGTACAGGGGAGTCGGCAGCACTTGTGGCTCGTAGAGATTCAGTCCCGTCCATTTTGGGTCCTGGACCACTGGCCCAATTTCAACAGCAATCCAATCTGGTTAATTATTCAGCCCGCAATACTAATCGGAATCAACCCAGAAACCAGCGACCCAATACTAATTACAATCCCAATCGACGTGGCAATAACAATTCTGGGGGCCCTACACGCAATCAGGCAGCCCGCAACAGTTCGGGGATTGGTAATTTCGGGCCCAATGTTACATGTCAAATTTGTGGGAAACCGAACCATTCTGCTATCAACTGTTGGCATCGTTTTGAACAACAAGCTTATTCTCCCCAAGTTAATACAGCTGTCACTCGTCACAATGGCTGGCTACTTGATTCCGGAGCGACCAATCACGTCACCAATAATCTGAATAATCTTACCTTGGCATCCGATTATACTGGCACTGATTCTCTTGTTATTGGTAACGGTAAAGGTCTTGCGATAGCACAAGTCGGACATATGACCCTTCACTCTCTTTCCCAACCTAATACTCTTTTTGTTCCTTCTATTCATACCAATTTAATTTCTGTCGCCAAATTATGTCGTGATAATGACGTACTAATTGAATTTCATTCTTCTTTTTGTCTTATTAAGGATCGGCGAACGGGAGCAATTTTGTTACGGGGTATGAATAAAGGAGACGTCTACAACTTGCCAGATGTACCCTCTCCATCATCTCCATCCGTTCACATCACACAAAATTTTTCCCTTAATAATTGGCATTGTCGTTTAGGACATCCTGCTCTCCCCATCACAAGAAAAATTCTCTCTTCCTTAGGTATTTCTTTTTCTAATGTTACTACAAATAATTCCTTATGTGTCTCGTGTGCTAGTAATAAAAGCCATAAGCTACCATTTGCAAAAACATCTCTTACGAGCTCTGGACCTTTAGATTTAATATATACAGATGTTTGGGGTCCTGCTCGTGTTAATTCTGTTGATGGCTTTCGTTACTATGTTATTTTCGTCGATCATTATACCAAATATATTTGGTTTTATCCTATGGCTCATAAATGCGAGGTCACTCCACTTTTTCAGCAGTTTAAAAAGATTGTTGAAAACTTTTTTCAACGCTCAATTAAAACAGTTTATTCTGATGGGGGAGGCGAATACATAACCTTAGGGAAATTCCTAAGCACATGTGGTATTTCTCATTTATTTACTCCCCCCTACACTCCAGAACACAATGGCTTTGCTGAACGTCGGCATCGTCACATTGTGGAAACTGGTATCACCCTACTTCATCATGCGTCTATACCTCTTAAATATCGGTCCTATGCCTTTCTAACAGCTGTGTACCTTATTAATAGACAACCTGCTCTCTCTTAATTTCTGCACTCCATATGAAAAACTCTTCTAACAACCTCCTAATTATAATAAACTTATTGTTTTTGGGTGTCAGTGTTTTCCTTGATTACGTCCTTATACCACTTATAAATTGGAACCACACTCTAAATCATGCGTTTTCTTGGGGTATTGTGACCAACAAAGTGCATATCGCTGTCTTGATCTTACCACTAACCGGATCTACATCAGTAGACACGTCGTGTTTGACGAGACAGTCTTCCCCTTTTCTACATCCCCACCACCAGTCTCAAATATCACTTCTGAAGTTGATCATTGGCTTCAACCTTCCATGTCTTATCTTCCTATTTCAGGTACTCTGGTCACGGGGGCGTCTTCTCCTACTCATACCTCGACTCAACAACTGACTCCCGGTAAGTCACCTAATACCTCCACCCAAAGTGATATCCCAACTTCTCCCCGTCCTCAACCCACACCGCCACAAATCATTACTTACCACCGCCGACCCAAACCCAATCCCCCTATACCCACCCCTCATCCACCCAACACCACTGAGCTCACTACCTCAACCCCACACCTCGATAATTCCCCGCCCAAACGTACTCATCCAATGACCCTTCGACCCTGTAAACAAGCCAATATTGCTACTAATATTCCCCTACCTCACCATGTTATTCCCACTTGTGCTTCTCAAGCTATGCAGGTACCAGAATGGCGGAGTGCTATGTCAGTAGAATTTGATGCCTTGGTTCGACAGGGTACTTGGGATCTTGTTCCACCTCAGCTTGGCCAGAATATTGTAGGTTGTAAATGGGTATATACAGTGAAGTATAAGCCGGATGGTTCATTGGATCGTTACAAGGCTCGACTCGTCGCTAAGGGCTTTCATCAACGCCCCGGGATTGATTATTCTGATACTTTTAGTCCGGTCATAAAACCGGTCACTATTCGCATTGTCTTGACTATTGCTCTCTCATGATTGGCCAGTACATCAGTTAGATGTCAACAACGCCTTCCTACATGGGACTCTTCAGGAGGAAGTCTACATGAAGCAACCACCTGGTTTTAATGATGGATTTGGGTTTGTGTGTCATCTTCGCAAATCCATTTATGGCCTTAAGCAAGCGCCTCGGGTATGGTATCAGGCTCTTAGTGGATTCCTTCTCTCACTTGGATTTCATCAGTCTGTTGCCGATGCTAGTCTGTTCATATTTTCCTACCATCCATCTTATATATATGTGTTGGTCTATGTGGATGACATCATTGTTACTGGTTTTACACCGGACTTGATACGCCAGACTATTGACTCATTGGCCCGCAAGTTCTCTATCAAGGATTTAGGAGCCTTACACCATTTCCTGGGCATGCAGGTTACTCCTACACAAGGTGGACTCTTTCTTAATCAACATAAATACATTCTGGACTTATTAAAGATTTTAAAAATGGATGAGGCTAATCATGTGGCTACACCGTTAGCTTCCTCTGCCTCCTTAACTCTGTTTGACAGTTCGGGCTCGTGTGATGCCACTCTCTATCGACAGGTCCTCGGGTCTCTTCAATATTTGAATCTTACTCGCCCAGATGCTGCCTTTGCTATTAACAAATTGGCCCAATTTATGCATAAACCTACGGTTAATCACTGACAACTTCTCAAACGTCTCTTGCGCTATCTGCACGGCATTGCCTCTCATGGCCTCTATCTTTGTCGCAGCACCTCCCCCTCTCTCCGTGCCTTTGCTGATGCTGATTGGGTAGAGAATCCTGATGACCGTTCCTCTACCAGCGCATATGCCATCTTTCTCGAGGAATCTCTTATATCTTGGAGATCAGTTAAACAACGCACTATTGCTAAGTCTTCCACGGAAGCAGAATATCGAGCCCTTTCCACCGCTGCCTCTGAAATTATTTGGATCGAATCTCTCTTGCGCGAGTTGCGGCACCCGCTCCTTTCTCCTCCACTCCTCCTTTGTGATAACAAAGGTGCTACTACATCTTCCGTCAATCCTGTCTTCCACTCCCGCATGAAACATGTAGCTATTGATTTTCATTTTGTTCGGCAGCGGGTTCAACGTGGTCTTCTTCAAGTGCGTCATATTCCATCTTCTGCTCAGATAGCTGACGCCCTCACCAAACCACTTCCTCGGCAACGCTTTATCCTTCTTAGAGACAAGCTCAGGATTCTTGGAAGTGAAAGAATACCTGGTTTGCGGGGGTGTATTGAAGGAAATAAATAATTGACATTTAAGACATAATATTGCATTTAGCCGTTACATATCTCTATCATTATTATTGTATTATTACCTACCTTATAGACTTGATTAGTGATTGTATAAATAACACCTATTGTAAAGCCTTTTGATCATGATTGAATATACGAAAATCATTTGCTCCTCTCTTCTCTGTTAGCCCTCTCCTTCTCCTCCCAGCCTCTTCTCCCCACATCTCAATTCGAGTTGTCATCACTCGATCTTCTACACACTTGACCAAAATGAACTTCATGCTTTCCTTTTTAGGTCATCCTAAAATAATCTTTTGTTCCCTTTTAAAGGAAAGAAATATCAAAATAATCATTTCAGTCTTTTCTACTCAAATTTCAATTGCACCTTTTTCATCCCAACCATTATTAATAAGTTTGCCATACCAAGACAAGAAGTTTAGTTCAAGACGAAGGGAATAATGTATAAGTAGTCCTGATATAAATATATACTAATATCACATTCTTATATAATACTACCTCCGTCCCCTTAATATTGGGAGGGAAGGGAGTGGTGCGATTTTTAAGAAAAATAGAATTATGTGGTTGATAGTGAGTTGATAAAGTGAGAATAAAGTAAGAATGAATTAGAGCCACACAAATGTTACGAAATATGGTATGTGACAATCATAAGGGGACATCCAAAAATGAAAAAACGGGAGAATTATAGGGGGACAGAGGGAGTAATTATAGATTATGAAAAACCATTTTTGAATTTCTAAACAGAACTTAGCACAAAATGTATTATAAAAATATGAATGCATAATGTATTTTATGAAATATTAGGTTAAACTACTGTTCCATAAACTAGTCTCGTGTTTAGTAGGGAGAGTATATTGCAAATTTACAAGCACAGAGACACTAAAAAGAGAACAAAATATGAGAATATTTGCAGCCAACAATCTCCTTGGGCCTTGTGTTTCCATAAATAAGCATTTCAAAATGTTGAACACCAAAAAAGAAAAAAAATCATTTATGAAAGAGAAAAATATTATTGAGTACTCAGAAAAATAGACGCAAATATTTGGGATATTTCCATTTCAGAACCTAGGGACTAAAAACGTAACTAACCACAGACACAAAGATGGAACTCACAAGTAGAAGACCCCAGCCTGTGGGCAAAAAGGCCAGAAGAGCGGCAAATAAATCGCTCACAGTGAGGCCACAGACCACAAAAAGCACAGTCATGACTGATGCAAAACCAAGGAATAGAAGTGCCTTCAAAATTCTGAACATGAGCTGAAAGTCAGTCCCAAATCTCCGCCTTCCCATTGACACCATCTGTTTTTAGGAAAAAGAATAAAGAAAGAAAGACAGAAAAAATGAATATGATTGACTTATTCTCTCTTTTTAAAGAAAAAAGAAAAAAAAAACCCTTCAGCTATGGATTATTAGAGGATGTTCATATTGACACTCATATTAAGCTCTCATAGTTTAGAGAGAGAAGTACTAAACCAGATTGTAAACCATACCTTAAGGACAAGAAGAACAGTGACCATAACAAACCAAGAAAGTCCATACACCTGTCACAAATGATTATATGGTGAAAAGTTAAAGATAGATCACAAGATTGACATTCGTGAAGAGAAAAATGATATGGAGACAGCAGCATTACCAGTATACTCCTGCTTCCATGAGCTATATCAAGGTGATAGACAACTCCATATTGGTAAATGAAAAATCGAAGTGAAAGGATTATCTCAAGCAATCTACCCCTTATACTGGTGTGCTTCAGATGTTCTTGTTCTTCATCCCACCAGGATTCCCAACTTTTATCAGCAGAAATCCCAATGCCACCACGGTTCCCCATCCACCTCTTCCAGTCAGTCCAATCATCCACCGTTTTCTGCCAGTCGTATCCAGATGGATTGAACACGAAAGGAGCAGACAGCCACGACCCAACTAAAAACCACATCGATACAGTTATAAACCAGTACAGCTTGGAACTCCGATATGATTCCCCGTAGACTTCATAAACAACTAACAATATCAACAGCTCGAGACCCTTCACAAAGTGACTGCGGGAGTAGAGTCTGTAGTTATCAGCATACTTGGCATGGAAAACAACAAAACCACGACCAGTAGCCCGGTACTTGGAACCTCCATGTAGAAGAGTTCTGCCATAGTAATGCGCTTTTGTTCCTAGCTGGAACGTGAAGAAAACAGAAGCAAGTTGCAATTGCATTACTATGAAATCTCCAATAGCAGTGAGAAATCCTCTCTCCAATCCAATTTCCACCACCATAGGAAATACTAGTAATAAACCCAGCTGAAACACAGACTGGGTCGCCAAAGCCTCTTCGAGAGCCTTAGCCTCACTAACAGAAGGATCCTCCAGAATCCGTTTTTCCAACCCACTCAAGACCATATACAAACGGCCATATAGAAATACATAAACGGTTAACACAGTAACCTGGAAAAGACGTCAATCATAACAACTTCAATGGCTTCGTATTTTAGTGACAACCACAAGAATGAATGAAATTCATAGTAAGGACAACGTTTTACTTACCATGCTACTAAAGTAGAAACCAATGGTGGTGAAGTAGAATGATAACATCCTATAGAAGTCAAACCGGCGTCCAAGCCTGTATACATCACGGCTAAGCGTTTGTTCACCATTTCCGTTTGCAACCTTTGCCTCAAAAAGAGATATTTGATTCATCCCCACATCACGTCCCTTGCCCACTTGAATATATTCATGATGTGTCACATACCCTCCTCGTAATGTTGAATTGTAACCTGAAGAGTTGACCCAATAAAACACTGAACGGAACTTGTAAAAGTGCAGTTTGTGCAAAGAATTTCACCTGAGAATATGTCTTCACTCAAGTTAATAGTTTTTGAGGCTTTGCTTATGCCACCTCTTGTCAAGTGAAAGATCCTGTCAAATATATCAGGATGGCCATAGTGGAACCTCACCCTGTGAAGCGAAGTCTGTTAACTCTTTCAATATTCAATCTTTATCCTTCAGGAATTTATAATACATGTGAAATTGCATCTAATGCAGTCAGGCAAGAAAATATGAGAACACATCGATACGAATGCCATCTGTTATATGTACCATATAAAATCAGTATAGAAGTCCGCATAGGAAACAAATCCTAACCTTAAAGGGCTTGCCATAACCCTCTGTCCAATAGTTACAAAACTAGTCTCCTGATTGGACATGAACCATGCGAGTGAAGAGACACTAGAAATCATAAAAAGGGCAAGTAAGAATTCCAAACTAGGTGTGAGAATCTCATACTGATTAGTATCAACTCCAATGCAAACCTTCCAGTAAAAATGTGCTCCCTCAATCCTAATATTGTTGGCCTACGTTGCCCGTGATGAGTTTTCGTGAACTCCTCCAATACATTTCTCATTTTGAATGCTTCTTCATAATAGTTATCCTGCAGATAGAAAAGGATAAGATTTCTGAAAAATCTTTGGAGAATGATAAAGGTACTCATACCTGATTCATGTCTATGGTCTGAAGGGCTTCTCCACGAGTGAAAATAATGGCATGATTTTGATTTTCAGGCTTTCCCTCACCAATTACTACTGGAGGACCAGGAAGCTTGATTCGATATATTTCCTATTTTTCAGCACTATGTCAGGATTGCTAAAAGAAATAGAAATAGTATATTATTTAAAAGTAAGGGATCTACTGAACCAGCAGTTGTAGAGGACATCATGCCAGATTTACATCACTGGTCTTTCTTAACATGATACTTATTACTTAATACTCCCTCCATCCCATTTTGTAAGATACACTTTCCTTTTTCGGTTGACCAAAAAATATGAACACTTTCTTAAAATGGACTCCATTAACTTTTTACTTTCCCACTTTATCCCTTTATCTATCATTTCCCTCATTACTTTTTGTGAAATCATTTATTTCTTTCTTACTTTTTGGAGGTTAGAATTGAAAACAACCACTTTATTCTTTATTTTCTTAAAACCTGCACTAAACCGACATGCATCTTACATTATGGGACGGAGGTAGTACTTTTTTCATGACTATAAAGTTAACTCATACCTCATCCAACTTATCTCCTCCCTTGACAAGAACAGAGTAGTAAAACTTTTCTTCTTTATCGTCAACTGTCTCACACTTTTCATCTATATAAGCAACACGCAATGATGGATACCTGGTATTTCAAGATTACAAATTCTATCAGCACTTCCAAAATTTTATATCGTTATATCTAAGTGGCCAGTGAGAACTTTGAGAAATGAAACTCACTCCAACATGAGATTAAGAATATTTGCGTAAAGATTATGCTCTTTTGCGTCCTTGGATCTCTTCTGACTACCATACAACTGACAAGAGACAATATAGGTGAACTTCAAATCTGCCCATGCCTTTTCTACTTCATTCAGTCTAGACTCAGGATTATTTATATCCATTGTACGACGATAGCCACCAAATATATCTGCCAAGGAGACATTGACAGGTTATTGATATAGACCACCATTCTCAACTAGGACACATCATGGCTGAAAGTAGAACTGGTAAATAAGATTGATTAATAAGTCACAGCACTAGATCTCAACGGAAGTCACCTTTATCATCCACATTTTCAAGGAAGTACTGAAGCCCAATAGCTTTCCTATAGTACATCATTCCTCTTACTGAAAATCACGCAAAAACATAAAGAAAAAGGAAGATTGTAAGGAATCAACAACTACACAGACATGTACGTGGCCTCATATAAAAGAGTAGTGCAAGTCAAACCAGTTCTGGAAAGTGTCTGGCCTCTGTAGGACACCCATTGCCGAGTGAGTTCAATGACTTCAATCTCCTTCTCGTCACCGGGTTTAACGTGTAGTTTGTCAATGCGATCCTGAAAGTTCTTCCATTCATCTAGTTTGGTAGAATAACATTAGAAGAGTCAGGGCAACTTCAATGCAGCAAAACTGTATGTCAACTAGCAAGGGGGCCTGATAATACAAAAAATCCCCTATAATGGTTCAGAACTCACCTGGATAGATCTTCTGAAGGTAAAAGAGAGTTGATATGCCATCTTCATTTTCCTTGTTCAGTTCATCCATAGAATACTTAACTTCCTCTTTATAATATGGAGTTAGAACACTGAACAGGGAGGGGGATATTTAAATTATTAAGAGTCACAATACACATATGAAAATACACCTAGACAGTGGTCACATATACAACAACAACATTACCCCAGTGCCGCAGAGGCTCCCATCTGTGGTGGGGTAAGGGGGGTGGTCGGATGTACGCAGCCTTACCATACTTGTCACGGCACCACGGCGGTAAGTCGAGTCGAGGCACCAGCCGACCACCATATCGCCTAGGCGAAAAGGCGCCCGTCTAGGCGACTAGTCGCACATTATATAATATATTATATACAAGTATAACATATTACTAATTAAAGTGTATATAACTTAGAATTGAAACCCACAGCTAATAATTGAAACCCACTAATAATTGTAAATAACAATTGTATAATAACTATGACCACACTTTACAAAAAGTTAAACTAGTACATATATCACATATTTGTATACGTAATTATATACTCCCTCCGTCCCGAAATGAAGTTCCCGGTTTGACCTACACACATATTTATGTGAGGTAAAGTTTTGTTTTGACTATCCAAGTATATCCGTACTTTATGTCAAATCAAATAAAAAGTAGGCAAAAAGTAAGGATGATTGCGACTTTTTGCTTAAAAGTGGTTTCTTTTAATATAAATGAGAACTTCTTTTTGGGACATCCATAAAAGGAAAGTGAGAACTTCTTTCGGGACGAAGGTAGTATATAATAACTTTTATTAATAGTTTAATAGTTTATTATTTATAACATATAATAAATTAATAATGTATAGATCATATCAGCAGTTCAACGTGTTTAACCGTTTATATAATATAAAAGTATATATATTATATACGCATATATTGATATACATATATATATATATAGAAATACACAACTTAAATACTTAATTAATTACTATCCTCCGTACCTCATTAATTGCAACATTGGAATATATACACTATTTATGTACTTTACTTTGATTACTTTTTATTTATTAATGTATGTGAATTATTTTTTTTGAAAAATGTTGTTAAATTCGTCTCATTACTAAGTTTTATAATCTAATTTTTATTTTATTTTTACTAATACAGAATTAAATATAATGATGGTCAAAGTTGTGCGTTGGCAAACGTGAAATGTTGACTGTTGCAACTAAAAAGAGATGGAGGAAGTATAATATAAAAAACTAAATCCAAAGAGAATAAGAGATCGGTGGACCTCCATAAAAAAAATAGAGATTGGTGGACTTGGGAATGTATTGGTCTGTGGTTGTCTGCTTCAACGACAGACTAAGGGAGGGCGAGTCCGACAACTTGTTCTGCTTCCTAGAGTTCTACGGTTTGTCTGGTACTCTGCTTTGACTCTACGACTATGCTAAACCTTAATCTATTATTTTTTGGGCCTGCGCCTGCAGACGGTTGTTCGACTAGGCAAAACCTGGCAGAGACTTGTCGCCAAATTCACGCCTAGATGACGCTTGGACGATGCTAAGCTCGACTAGTCTTTTTCTGGTGAGGCAAGGGTACCCACTAGCACTCCCTAGCGCTAGAACGCCTACTCATAAAAAATTGTGTGGATTAACTGTTGCTTCATAACGAAGAAGCGTAGACAATTTAATGAGCCATTTCGCTCACTAAAGCACAGAGAGACTGTTTAGTGCCTTACGCCTACCGCTTAGTGCCTTACCATGTACTAAAGCACAGAGAGACTGTTTCCGGATGTCCCATGATGAAAATCGCGTAAACAAATGCATGGACTGATTATTGATTTATTGCTTCATAAAAAAGAAGCACGGACAGTTTAGTGAGCCATTTTGCTTTATTCCATCATATTTCCAGACCAAAAAATAATGAGTCTTTGGCTCCATTCGAAACCTACCAAGAATAGCGATCCCATATGCGCAAAGAAATACCTACCAAGAATTTATTACAATCAATTTGTAAACGTATCACTTTTGGCATATATGCACATTATGGCTTTCCATTCTCATATGGTTTAAGGTTAATGTTTTTTCTTTATTCCTGTTGGGTTTAGGCCCCATTATTTATCCTTATAAGCATTGTGGTCTTCAGAAATGATAAAGTTGTAAATAAGAAGGCTAATTATTATACATGGTATCACAGCCAAACCCTAAAACAGTCACAAAAATCCGCATAATGACCTCATCTCCATCATTCTTCTGCCATGAACAGTGACCATCCTATTTTTAAGTACCCAAGTTCAGTTCAAAATATCTCTGGTGACTTTTTGACAAAGCTGACCACGCCAGTCTCAATGCAAAACAACGCTAAAAGCCCACTACAATCCGACAGTGCAGTACTGCACGCATGAGCACACCACCTTTTACCGGAACAATTCCAACCTCTCGTGTCACGCGCCAGGGCTTGAAGGCAATTCTGACGATACATTTTTAGTTGAATTTCAAGGTCTATGTGTGTGGCCTATTTGGAACTACATGTCCTCTACATGGCTCTTGAAGGAGAAAAAGCAATCAGAGAAGACTGCCTCAGAAAACTTGACACAAAAAGACCACATGATTCATCTATTCAACAAATAAGACAAAATCGAAGAAGAAGGAATTGAGAGGAACAACAAGAAGGATGAAATGAAAACTTTCCTCAAGCAAAGTTAAACTCAAGTCAAAGTAAGTGAAAGTAAAGGAAAGTGAAATTCAAGTTCGACATAAGAATGCTCAACGGAAGCTCGTTTCTGGAAGGGGAGAGTAGTAATTATAGAAATATAGCAATTCTAAGTAAGGCAACACTATTATGCCTTCGTATTCTAATCACTTAGGGTTTAAGTTCCATATTCCCATAGAGTTAGGACTAAGGCCCATAATTATCTCTCTATATAAAAATTGTAAGTCAAAAAGTCATATTAATAAGAGTAGGGGAAATTCTCAAAATACGACTTTAAACAAGGTGTTTTATCTAAATATGAGTATCATGGTTTCCCCCCTAAATAGGAGTAAAGTATTGCCATCTTGAAATCATACTGTGATATTATGGCATGAGCAAGCATTAACATGGCGGTATTAATATCATAATATGGCAGAACAGACTAAGCCTCTCAGGATGTCAGTACTTGTTCTTATTTAGGAAAAAACAAAGTACTCCTATTTAGAGATATCACCTTGTTTTTACTCCTATTTAGAGCAATTTGTTTAAAAGTAGTAGGTATATTATACTACAATGTATCTGATTTTAAAAAATATCCTCATGTCTATTATGTCCCAATATATAAATATATATCAAAATATTTACAAGAAGACAACAACATCCAAGCTTTAGTCCTAAAAATGATTGGGGTCAGCTAACATGAATCGACATATGACATTGAAATATTTAAAAGAACGTGAAGTAAAAAAATATGGTAGTTTTTAAGTGTGTAGTTTCCTTAAGTTGAACTTTTAGCTCAGATACAATTGTTTACCTCGGATTTGTCTTAACTTTTAGCATACACGTTAAAGGTATGCGGAATAAGAGCATCATTTTACAATGAAATGGAAGAGCAATAATGCTTCTTAATTAGTGCATGCAAATCCCACAACTCTACAAGAGTTGACAATGAGAACCAACAAATTATTTAAAAATATTTTCTAATGTCAAACTTGCAACTTGGCATTGACCTAAATAACTAGGATAAACTTAAGTACTCAATGGCTATATAACAAAGACCCCTTAATTATGTTTTAGAAATGAACCTGAAAGACAGCATATTTCGAACTTCTGGGGCAGATGGCATTTTCATGAACAAAGAGTTCGCAAAGAAGGTCATTCTTCGACGCGCTTCTAAATTCATTGGCACATTCATTGCAGACTCCTTTACTGTCAATAGCAAATGGAGCCTAACAACCTGTAAAAGAGTGAAACCAAAAGACAAAGAGCATTCGCACAAGGGAAGCATGGGAAAGAATCTTTGCAGAAACTTAAAACCCGTGTTACCTTTTCCCACCAAGATGTCTTATATATGTTCATGTTTATATTCTGAAATTTTTCCTCGCCTTTCATTTTTTTCTGGGATCCTTCCATGATTCTACAAATCAGCGATATTTGAAAGCTTGTCTTAAATCCATAAAACAATAAGTATATGCAATCTACAAATGAGTTATCTAAAAAACTCACTTATTGCCGTCAACCATTACATCCTGAATGAAAATTTCATAAGCATCCTGGAGGAGAGTTACCAGTCGTGACTTTCTCTGCATCTCATCCCCATGGACTCCACTGTCATTTACCTGCAAATTTCAAATTGTTTAAGTCACGGTTCTCACCTGCATGAACAATACCGGCACCCTTTCTAGAGCTTTCTGAAAAGTTAAACTAAAATGATAAAGGTTGGATTTGGACAAAGAATTGTGAAATTACTAACCATAATATCGAAAAACGTCTCCAATTTATTGTTCAGTGAAGGGAGGTTTTTCAAATTGAATCTTCTAAGAATTTTTTTCTCTTTTATGCTGTCATCTACTTCGTCAAATATCTGCTCAATGATCCTGCAAATGTGTATAGAGAAGCCATATAGCTCAAATCAGATAATAACAACAATGCTTGTTAAACTAGATGTCACACAAATATTCTACTTGTTTGATCACCTATTGACCCATGTATTTGGCAGAACAGTTTTTTTTTGTGACAAGGTGGACTGAAGAAATAGCTTTGTTAATAATTGGAAATTGCCATACCTCTTGTCATCAGCAGTTTCCACTATTTCAGTCAATAAGCCCTTGAGTGTTTCAAAGCATTCAATCAAAGCCGAAAGCATGAACTCATCACTTTTAATCTTCCCGAAAAGTTCAGCATCGTCAATTCCCTTAAAATCTTTTACCATGTCCACTGCTACCGGGATCTAATGGGAACAACAAAACATAGTAACAAGTCAACACAGTTTGCACTCCTTGCACACTGAGTGTGAAAGATACTAGAACAAGACTGGAGAACAATTTGGAGATTTATTCACTAAAGCACTAAATGGGATTTGAGTTGATTACTTATGTAACAAGTATCTATGCTCCAACTTGAGGGGGTGTTTGAAAGACACTTAGAATAAGTATACGAATATGCTTTAGAATATATTAGGAATATACCCTAGTATTGAATAGCAACTTATATAAGAATATTTTATCTTTGTAATCTAGACTAACAGGGCCTTAACCTTCAATGAAACACAGAAAATTCTTCCATTCTTATTACCATTATATGCTTAATTCTAATAAGACTGAGAAAGCAATGATATTATTACCTTACTTGCAAGCAAGAATGGAGGCCATTGGATAACTTTAATTTCACTCGATGATGAGTATGGCACAAGAAGGAGATCTCTTTCCCTAGCCAATGGTGCCAACAAAAACTATATTAACTTCATAAAATTTCACATTTGGGGATGAAATAGATACTTAACATGCTATTCTCTCTCCATGACATTTGTCCAATCAAACCGATGCATAACCACAATACAAATGTAAGGTAGCAATTGTAACCTATTGTTGATCAAGTCCTCCATTCGCATTGATACTATGAACTCGTTCCACATTTGAGAGAACATTGCAATGTTCTTTCGTTCCAACGAATCATCCTAAACAGCAATGATAAATAAAAAACAGTACGGTGTATCAAGAGCTATTAAAATGAATGTTTGGGACAGGCCGAAGCATAAATTTGTGTCATGTATATATAAATAAGGACAACGAAAGATTGTTATACTCCATTGACTTGTTCGTGCTCCTCTTTTGAATGTGGCACAAGGCGTTCTCTGAAAGCTGATGGAATAGATACAAATCTAGACCTTAGCATCCCAAGTGTTCTAATCTACTAGAAAGGAAAATTGATTAGTCAAAATAATTATACATAGCAATTCTATTTTAACATATAGTGATATCCAAGGGTTCTTCCATTTTAATAAAGAGCAATAATTACCTCACCAAGGTGACTGAATGCTCCAGTAATCCCTCCTACAACTGTATAAAATATAGCATACCATATTTGTGTATCCAAAAAATAGACCTGTAAACTTCATTTGTTAGCGTATGGAGTTAAGGTCTTGATCTGATTTTTTATTTTCCATTTCATTACATACCAGAACAATTGGACTCCAAATTGCGACCACAACACCAATATTATTTGCCACTGCATCACATGTAAATGTAATGTAAGGTGATCGCGTATAAACAGTAGACCATAAGGAATTAAGGATGCTAAGCATGAAAGCAAGACATTACAGTTTGGGAAGAACTCGTGCCATTCATAGTTAGGGACTCTAATATTCATGATAATCTTTGTAGGCTGAACTAATGGCAAAATCTGCAGGTGCAAATAAAAAGGATTGAATTAAAGAAAGAATGGGCTGGGTGAAAGCAAAGGCAGGAACGAGTTCACCAGCACAAGAGTTTTGCGTAATATGTAAAGAAAAGTATACCTAAGGTCTAATTTACTCGAGTAAAATGGTTCAGAAAAAGTTTTTATGGGGATGAGAATTTATGAACTTCAGAGGAAATCAAATACTACGTACAAAATATACAAAAAACATTCGTTTAGTGTAGTCTAGGAATAGAAAAGGGCTGTTTATGGTGTATGCTAGCAATTGTCTAATGGTTTTTCAAGCATAGGCGATTAAAAGATTGATCTCACAAAGAACATTATAAAACATACAAATATATAAAGCCTTGGGCTCCTCCAATAAATTTTATTGGAGGCTATCCCCAATTGATAGCGTTGAACAACGGAGTAGAGTTGATTGGTAAGAGGATAAAAAGGAGGCTCAAATTTGCTCCTAATCCAACAATGGGTGATGCTCCATTGATAAAAGAGTTTGGGAGACCAACCGTAGGTGTCTCCCCGTCCTGCAATGTACTGAGTGAGGCTGCCTGGAATTATGATCTCAAGAGTGTTCACTTTAACCAATTGCCATCTTTCCATGGGCTTGTTTCTGAGGATGCGTTGATCTTTATCCGAGATTTCTATGGCATCATCCAGAATTTTCCCTTGCAAGGAGTGACTGAAGATGAACTCAGGATGAGGTGCTTTCCGTATAGTCTCAAAGATGCTGCGAAGACATGGTTTATGTTTTTGACACCTGGTCCCCTGCGCACTTGGATTGAAGTTTACAATAAATTCATTGGCAAGTACTATTCGCAGTCCAGAACTTCAAAGCTACGGAGAAAAATTGCTACTTTCACTCAAGCTGAAGGTGAGCCATTTCATGAGGCGTGGGAGAGATTCAAGATGATGCTCACTCAATGCCCTCACCACGGCTATTCACTGGTGCTTCAGAATCAAACTTTCTACGATGGTTTAACCCAAGGAAGTCAAGCTATTGTTGACAACGCGGCCAGAGGAGCAATGAGAGAGAGGACAGCTGAACAGCCTTAGAGCTTTAGGAGGCTTTATGAGATGCTTGGAGCTGATTCCCAACAGAAGGGTGTGAGAGACAGGAGTCCAAGAATTTATGAAGTGGGAGTTGGACAGAATTAAACATCCAAATGTCCGAGTTGTCCAAATAGATGAAAAACATGCGCTCTGTGATGACAATGAGTCAATCTACTTCCGTTGTGAATGCAATACCTGAAGGTGAATTTGAACAAGCCCACATGATGAACTCCTACGAGCAAGGGCCAAGGAACGATCCATTTCCGAACTCTTACAATCCTGGTTGGAGAAATCATCCTAATTTCTCTTGGGCTAACACGCAACAAAGCAACCAGCCGCCGCCACCTGCACAAAAGAAACCTTCTATGGAGGAGACTTTGCAAACATTCATGCAAATATGCACCAAAAATCAGCAAGTCAATGAGCAGCGTTCCCACAGAATGAAGCTTCTTTGAGGAAGTTAGAGATACAAGTGGGACAAATTACTGAATGTTTACAAGGACATGTGCAAGGAAGCTACCAAGCCAAACTGAAGAGGCAAAAGCTGTCACGGTTCTTAGAAGTGGGAAGGTAATTGAGAAAAATGAAAGGCAGACCATTTTGAAGCCACCAGAGAAGGTAGAAACTGAAAATAAAGAAGAAGTTGAGGCTGGTTGGGAAGAAGAGCCAGGCTGCTTAGTCGCTCTCTCCTTTCTGCCAAAGAGGGAGTGCTGGCCGGAGAAAAGTATTGGAGCGGAGAGCTGCATAACTCTGGAGGATAGCAATAGCTACCCTTGCAAAAGATTTTCTCCACTTCAGGGGTTAGCTTGATTGTGAAAATTTTAATTTATTTGTGTGAAAGCTTTGTTTCGTTGCTTCTGGTATTTTCAAATTTAAGTTAGGTACCTGACTAATTCACAGTGATTTCAAGAAGTAAAAGATGAAGAAGGAAGATGTGCGTAACAATGGAAGCCGTCGTTTAACAGAAAATGTAGAGAGAGAAATACAAAGGCAGTTAAAGAGTGCCTACTCTCCAAAGTCCCAGACCCAAATAACAATTCCAACCTCCTTCTATTCTACCATCCACCTCTATTTATACTAACTATTCTAATATTATTATTACTCTTATTATTATTAGTTCTATTCTGCCGGAGTCCTATCATATCTCCCCCCTTGAACATCCACCTTGTCCTCAAGGTGGGTGATAGGACACAGCCTTGATCTTGAACTTCATCTTCATCCTGGAGCCTCTTCCTTCCCAGTACCTCCCGGATTTCTGAACCATAAGTTTCTGTACTTTCACCTTCCACCTCATAAACGTTTCTGCAGTCGAAGAGAATTCTAGTGCAGTTTTAGTCTCTTCAGTGGCTATCAAGCACTCAATAACGGCAGATGTTTCTTTGTTCTGTGCTTCTCCCTTTGCAGCAGTCATCTGTTTTGTTATTGCTGCAGCCAGTCCTTCCAGCAGATTCCACCTGAGTGATTTGTCATTGTAGATGATAATTTCACTCAATAGTCTCCTCACATCAGGACTTGGTTCTGCCAAAAGCCTTCCAATCACACATGTATATGCACTCTCCACCACTTTGAATTCAGGATCCCCTTCTTTTGTAGTTCCTTCTAGAAATCCTAAAGCTCGTATCACCACTGCAGAGTCATGAGGAAGAGAGAAGTTGAACTCGTACATAACATCATATAACTGATTTATAGCCTGGACATCCTGGGATTGTCTACTACCATCACCAAAGGATTGTACCACAGTTCTTTCAGGAATGAAACTGAGAGAGAGGAATTCATTTGCCGAACTCCTTGAAATTGTAGCCTCAGAATCTCCAGCTGCCACCCTTTTCAAATAAACTTGAAGCATGAGAGCTTTCAACTCATTATCTTCTGGCCATTTTAACTTCTGAAATAAGCTAACTTCCTTCCCAACTGTCAACAAGTCCTTCCCTGTTCCGAGGTGTTCACTCATGGGCGGCACATATCCAGCTCCATACTCAATAGGTGGATGGTTAGAACTTCCCAACTTAAAAAGTACAGTGAACACATTAGAAATTTCAAAACGAGCTGTGACTTTCTCTCCTACTAGCATTGTCCATGAGACATTCGGAATACATGCTCCAAACACTTCACAGATGATTATCAGAAACTCAACGAGTTTAAAATCCTTGCCATCAAGAGAAAGTAACTGGACACAGTCTACTGGTGGTATGCCAACTAGCAGGATATTCAGCATTGATGCATAACAGCTCGACTGATTCTCTTTTCCAGAGTACTCTGTAGAAACGGGTGGAAACCACAGCGTAGTAATGCAGTAGGAAGTGTGTTCCTTTTTAACGACGTTCAGTCTTCCATCTGCTTTCCCAATAGCTAAGAGCTGTTGAATCCCACCAAGATGATTCCAGTACGTAACATCACCACCAAAGTATTGATTATAATTCACACTAGGACAACCATGGACCTCTAATTCGTCTTCTGTGACATGATAGTGGTGCAGTACCTTTTCAGCGTCCCTATTGTTAGCTACTTTAATAAAATCAGAATTATAACCGTGAACATAGCTCAAACTATCAAACCCCGCAGAGAAATTATTTTGGTTTTGCATTTCAATTTTGTCCTCCTTTTTCTCAGACTTTGATTCATCCTCTTCTATTTCCCTAGTTTCCTCTATACGGACAGTTTCTGTAGAGCTTTCCCAAGTATTTGAACCAACAATTTTATCAACGACAAATTCATATTCCATGGCAATGGATTGAATCACCACAGAAGTTTTCTCCTCTGGTTCCAAATCACCATTGATGAATGTATCTTCAGAGTTAGGTTGTCACTGACTCACATACTGCTGAGAAGTGGTTTGCGAGTGCGAACTGGGAGATACGGTTCGCGAGTGCGAACTGGGAGATTTTTCCGCTGATCGCGTCGCACTTTGATGTGAACTGTGAGAAGTTCTTTTCGATCGTGAAGATTCCCGGTTTTCTGTCTTCCGCCTGCGTGTAGGTTGGAAACTCCGAATTGTTGCTTCCTTTAGAACTTACCAATTCTTTTCTCTCGTTCCAATTTCCCACTATTGAAACCAATTGTACGCCATTTCCTCCATTGTTTCTTCTGCGACTCTAACCTTGTATTTTTCAGCAGTACCGTTGAGTCTGAAGTAGCGTTCCATACTCATTATCCATCTGTGCGGGTCCTCTCCTTTGAATACAGGTAAATCTGGTGATTCCTCTGGACTGATGTAATTTCTCGCGTTCCTAAGGTGCGAAGTGGACTGCGAACTGTGAGAAGATGTTCTCGACTTACCTCCGAATTCATCGCGAGTCTTCCACCCATCATCGCTAGTCTTTCGCGCTTCATCGCGATTCTTCCCCATCTTCTCGCTGTTTCGTTCCAATTTGGGCAAACCAGATGCGGCCAGTTCTGACCATCGATGTTCTTCACGTAAACCATAGCGCTTCTCCATGATTCCAGGCGTCGATTGCTCTGAAGAAGACGAAGAAGATTCACTACTGTCCAGTCTCTTGCTTCGCTTTGTTGTTTTGGACCTTCCGCGCGACTCGCCTCGCTGCGATATGAATTCGCGCAACTCATCGCGAGTTCGCTGAGCTTCTTTGCGCATCTCCTCGCGCATGCGCGACGTCTCTGTGCGGCTATTCTCCAGCTCACGTTCCACATTCTCCAATCGCGCTTCCATCGTTCCTCTTGTGGTGACCATGTACAGGTAAAAGATCGTTGCTCTGATACCAATGTTAGGTACCTGACTAATTCACAGTGATTTCAAGAAGTAAAAGATGAAGAAGGAAGATGTGCGTAACAACGGAAGCCGTCGTTTAACAGAAAATGTAGAGAGAGAAATACAAAGGCAGTTAAAGAGTGCCTACTCTCCAAAGTCCCAGACCCAAATAACAATTCCAACCTCCTTCTATTCTACCATCCACCTCTATTTATACTAACTATTCTAATATTATTATTACTCTTATTATTATTAGTTCTATTCTGCCGGAGTCCTATCCATTTAGCAGTCTGTTAGTTTGCTGCTCTTCTCAACTTTAATCATTAAAGTGGTTGAGATTGTTCCTACCATGCTTATTGTTTTAGTTAATAACTTTAGGCGAAATTGACATAAATAATCCCTATTTATACATTTTACAAAAATAATCCCTACCGGGAAAGTTCACAACAATAATCCGAACTATTTAACTCTTTTTAAATATAATGACTCTTTTTAAATATAATGAATAAAAAACATGTATAAGCATCAACAATATTATATACTATGTATATTTGTCCTTATATTTACTTTTATTGTAAATCAAATTTAATAGTCATTATGTTTCATAAAATGTAATAGATATATTTAAAAGCATACTAATCAAATTCTCTTTTTTCTTTTAGTTCTAATCAATATTTTATTTATATTCATTTTTATTTCATTATAATAGAGATTTAAAATTAATTTTAGTAATTCTATATTAAATATTACCAAAACTGAATACAAGTATGTGTTCAAATATTTTTATTATATTTTACAAAAAATATATTTATTAATAAATTAAATTTATAGTACAAATAAGACTAAACAAAAACATAATATTATTTGCTTCATTTTATTTTAAATTTTAAAAAAATAACGGAAAAGTTAACACCGTTAACTTTCGGTTTATTTTTGTGAAACAATTATCCGGTTGGGATTATTGTTATAAACTTTTCCAGTAGGGATTTTTTTTGTAAAATCCCTAAAAGTAGGGATTATTGGTGTCAATTTCGCCATAACTTTATTGTTATGAGTAGCTAAATTCTTAAGTCCTAGATTATGATGATGTTGCTATGATTTAGTATGAATTGTGATTTTAGATATATCAATCGATTGAGTTTTATTCATGGTTCTTATTCGCTTAATTGGTTGTGTTAACTTCTGGCCAATTTTAGCATGTTGATTGAGTGGATTAATACAGTACATGCCATGCCTATTAATTCGAGCTCTTTTGGATAAACGAATATATACTTCAACTGTCTTGTTAGGTTATCTATTTGGTTCCTAAATCGGGTTTCCGTATTTCTTTTGTGATTAATGGATTTGAATTATTCAATTAATAATTTCCTATTGATTAATAGTTAAAGTACGTGACTTATCCTAGACGCCATACGAAATAGTCATATTAATGCCTAGAACGAACCCCCAATTCTTAATTGACTAACTAAATCACAAATACTAGAAATTAGTGACAGAATCATAATCCTGGACCCTTTTATCTTGCTAAATTCTCGACCGTTGTTCCTTACCTGCTTAATCACTTTATTTTTAATCTTTTAAATTCCTTGCATTCATTTAATTCAATTTTTGCTTTTTAAGTTTCAAATCCACACATCTCAAAACTCCCCTTTAGTTAATTAATTTCATTTTATTCAACTATTTTCCAATTACTTAGTTGCATTTTTCCTGTGAATTCGACCCTTATTTGAGCACTATACTACCGTGACTCGTGCACTTGAGAGGACTTATAAATTGTCTGTCAATTTTTGGCGCCGTTGTCGGGGATTAAGTGACCTGCGACCTTTACGATTGAACTCTAAATCTAAACATATTCCATAGTTTGAGGTTTTCCTATGTTTAAAAACATTGTAACGACAAATCATTTGACCGCTCTTGCACCTGCTATAATATTTGCACAATAACATGATTCTACAGTGGTATCAAGAGGTTTAGTAATATGGACCAGTTTGGCCATGTCTACCAGCAACAATAGAAGAGGCCATGAGAGGTGTGCAAGTTATCTCAAGTACTTTATTCAATTAAATCGGCTTACCTTATTTCAGTCAAATATTATTAAGATTTGAGATTCATCTTACACGGCGGTTAGATGGTTGGTTCGTTGGAGTAGACCAATTTTGTAGCCCATTTGCTCGTTGTTGAAGCTTACCTGGATCTAATTGCTCGTTGGAGCTTAACCGGCTCTGATAACATATTAAAGTTTTGGGTTTCATCCTACCAATCTAATAGGAGTAGCTGAAGGCTTTACATATTAGTTTTTATTCTCATATGCAGCCGGTGTGAGATAGTTTACTACATCCCAACGAGATAGTGGCTCGTTGGAGCAGACCAACCTTGTAGTTCATGTGCTCGTTGTTGAGACTTACCAAGATCTGATTGCTCATTGGAGCTTAATCGGCTTTGATACCATATTAAGACTTGAGTTTCATCCTAAAAGGTCAACGTAATAGGAGTCCAAGGCTATATGTTAATTTGTATTTTCATACGCGGCCGGTGTGAGATAACTTAATAAATACTACCTCCGTCCCTTAAAACTTTGCCAAAGTTGACCAGCACGAAGAATAATAAAGTAAAAACTGTGTGGTTGAGGTTTGTGCAGAGGAGAGAGAAATAACAGAAACCACAAAATAATTGATTAAAAGGGAAAGTGGCAAAGTTTTTTTGGACGTCCCAAAAAAGGAAAAATGGAAAAGTTTTAAGGGAGGGAGGGAGTATCAGTTTATCTAATTACATCAGCTTTCGTTATTTTAGTCAAACTGTCAAATATGAGTTATTAAGTTTGTAATAGATTAGATCTCTTTCCTACTATTGTTTTAGAACTGATGTCTTTTGTATATATAAGTCTTATTAGTTAGAAAAGAATATTTAGTTTCAGAATTAACTATTCCTACAATCTGTTGGTGGAACAACCAATCACCTTCCTTTCCTAGGCAGCAAGTTGGATTTCTATACTGAAACCATATCTTCGAATCCTTCTCTTCCTTATCAATGACCTTGGACTAGATCTGGTATCAAGGTCTATAACAATTTGGCATCGGCATCCAGGGAAATGGGGAATGATAACATCAACACCGATACATTCAAAGACTTCAACTTCTGATTAGCAGAACCACAAAGGCCAATTCATTTCCAGTTGGCCACTTGGTCTATAATCAGAACCAACCCAACCCATCCCCACCTGATGTCAAAATGCTAATTATGACGGTATGACCCTTATATAGCTATAAGCCTATTACTATAGTCCTAATACTATAGTCCTAATGACAAAGGGAAATTTAAGAGCTGATAGACTTCTAATTTGATAGACTTCCTATCTAATTAAAACTGAAAAACAGGAAATAAGAAGAATAGGACTGCTTTTCTTAAACCAGAAGGCAGCCCTGGTCATTTAGCCAGCCCAATCAGCCACTTTTAGTGCGCCCTTCAGTGCCACCCTCTGCATGGGCCTCTGGGCCCAATTTCAGTTGATGACGTCGCTGGTAAGTATGGCCCACGAAGGCGCCCACATCAAGGGCTTAAACAATTAAAGCTTTATGTTTAAATAGTTCTGTATCTAGTGTATGTGAGGTTGACGGACAAAGCAATTCACATGACAGTGTACTTCGGATTGGAAAATAACACGCTTCTAACTATGCCAACAAAATATCAACAATTGGACAAAAACAAATATATGATACCAACAAAATCCAATTCTTAGCAGCTTAAGTGAGCCAGATAATTGCACAATTATAATTTAAGACAAAAAATACCTCCACATAATAGCTGAATGCCAACTTGCTGATGAGCAGAAAGATCCAGAAAAATGTATACCTGAGAAGAGAACGGAAAACAACTATTGAAAGGAGCCCTAGTGCTCTTTGAGAAATAATAACTCCTAGAAAAATGTCAGTCCCCTTATACTGGGCCATTATCTGCGTCAACAGTTTTTTGGGAAAAAAGCGAATGATAAAAATTTATATGCATGGAAGTGCATCCATGTATAGAAGAACTATTTCTTACTTGAATAGAGAGATCATGTCTTCATGCATGCCTCTTCCAATATACAGCTTTGGCTGGAACTTAAAGAAATATTGTTAGAACAAAAGTATGGCATGAGTACCTTTAAAAGGAAATGGAAAAAAAAATATGCTGCTGACCTGAGACCACCACATTAGTAGCACAACAATACGCCAGTTTGATTTTTCCATGGATTTTCTCATACAAGGAAACATAAAAAGAAATGCGGCCAATATGTTTGGAATCAAGTATATAGCAACACAGTAGTAGAATAATGACTGGTTTGGTATAATTCCTCCTAAATTATTGAAAAACCGCACAACTCCAGTGGGATTCTGAACAGATTTAGAATAAGTAATAGGCAAAAGAACCACCCAGAGTGCGGCAACCACAAGCTTCAGAAGGTAGCGAAGTATCTGCGTAAATCTCATGCTCCTCCACGCATTAAGGCTGAGGAGTATATCCAAAATAGCTGCAAAAATTGACAATAACTTGAAAAGAATCTCATAGAAAAACTTGAATTTGTATAAACTAAGAGAAACATAGAAGATTGTCTTTCTGATTGATATCATGAATGAAAAAAATGTTGTATTAGATACCACGCCAAAAGTGCAGAATAGCAGCAGTTATAAAAATGCTCAAAATGCTTTTGAACATGTCCTCATCAAAAATCTCAGAAAGGGATCCTGAATGGTTCCATGCAATAATAATCATCACCTGGAAACCCAGAAATATGGGAAGAAATGTTATTGAAAGTAAATGTAATATGAGTATTAAAGTGGAAATTAAGTAAAAAAAAAGTGGAAATTAAGTCTGTTTATCATTATGTACTTCTAATTTACTGAGATTTGAGCGAGAAATGGGGGAACACACATTGAGTATATAGAAAAAGGAGTGAAGGACACACACATAATGTGCTAAAATAACTTCTCTCAATTATCCAGAGTTTATATGTGTGCATGTGTACGTAGGGTTTGGTTCTAGCGAGAAGTGCAACTCATGTGGGAATGTGCAAAGCAAACTTTTACTTCATTCCTCACCTTAAGATCACATCTCGTTCGATCCAAAATCTATGGATCTATGCATGTCAGTGTGTGTTTATCAGGCTTGTTACCCTGATTTCAACTTAACTTGGTTTGACCATCTACTAAAATATCCTCCCTCCGTCCCAAACTAAGGTTCTTGCTTTCCTTTTCAACCATACAAGAATAAAATCTATGTTTCCTTTGATAGAAATTTCTGTGCAGTTAATATTTTTCCGCTTAACTCTTAAGAGATCTCAACCTAACATTTTTATTTTCTAAATAAGTGTGCGAAGTCAAACCAAGAACCTTATTTTGTGACGGAGGGAGTATATTAGTAGCGTGCAAGAGAGAATAATAATCATGTCTCAAGATACCTGGAGAGCCAATATAAAGAATGTCCAGTAACGATCGAAACTCCTATAGAGATGCCAAAAGGTTCGAATTTCAACAAAATTTGTCTTTGGCTTCCTCTTCCTTGTAGCAACATTGTTATGGCCCTGGAGAGTCGACACTGGGTAAGTAGTAATTCACTATAAAAGGAAAAACTGCATATACCATAATCAATTTAATCAAATGGGATATCTTTGGTCAAATGCCATTAGATAGTGACTTATTGTAATACAGACATGTGGATGTTGACGACCTGAATCTTAGGCACTTTAGATAGTCAATTTGCAACATACATATGAAATATCAACGAAATCAAATAGAATTTTCAAAGAACGACCCAAGAATTTATCATATGTCTAGTGCTAACTAGGGAACTTCAGAGGCTAACCATATATCTTATCACCTTACGGTGGTATCAGCCCAATTAAGTACAAAACTAAGACTTTACCCAAAATTGTGTGTTCAAGGCATTTGTATAAGCAATACCAATTAGGTTAAATGTGAAGATTCAGAAAGAGGCTAAGCAAGAATACATCAGCATGTATAGATCCTTGTGTTTACTGTTTACATCAACACATTAGGGTTCTTACTAGCCAGATCAAGTGTCGGGGTAATGGTTCAAGCATATGATTCAGCCCAATATCCTCAAACATTTGTAGAAAACTAAGGTCACCAGTGCTCGTAGATTCCTTAGAAGATCGAGTGCGTATCCTTCAAGTTGCCCGTAGATCTGAGCAAAATATTTTATATGTTCGCGGTTCACCACACTATTTTTTAATCTCATCTCCAGGAGTAAACCAGTATTCTTGTACATGTTACTTGATCATTTTATTACATGCTTACTGGCCTGTTTTAAGCATTAATGGTTTAGTTAGTATCCTTGTTTCATTCATTACACTACTTTCACGCATTTTTCTGATGTTTTAATGTTTAGAAATGCGTTGGAATGCTCGGCAATACAAAATGCAAGCGAAACCTTTAGAATAGAAATAGCAAGACAAAGAATGGCCTAGTCTTTGCAAGGAACAATGCGTGTTGGACGTTCAAAATGGTATATTTGGATATTGTGCTCAGGACTGACCTAGGAAGAGCCGTTCTAGGTGGAATGATAATGATTGTGGAAAACAGAATAGAAGGTGTAGTTCTAGAGAGAACGTTCTGTCATATTTTACATTGATCCGCTATGGCAGGCAGCCACTTTGCTGCTGTAGTTAAAAAAGAACTTAGAGACTTCAATTCAACAAAACACTTTTTCAAGGTTCTAATAGTTTTTAAGACTATAAATTCTCACTCAAGATGTGTTTATGGATATGTAGAAAGATGGAAAAAAATGTCGATCTTAAACCAAATGATAAAAACATACAATATAAAAGTTAGGATTGATTAGAGGCAAAACTACATTTTTAATATAGTATTCTCATTTTAGCTCCATGCAAAACTACAATTTTTTGTTTTTAATCCCTGTAATTTATGTTGTTTATATTCTTAGCCAGTCATCGTCCCTAGCAACCTGACTTTGACAACAAAAAAAGTTATATGTATTTCCTTTTTAAGTCATTTCAAAAATATTTTAATTTTATTTCCAAAGAGCAGCTATAACCTATATTGAAATTGTGAATGATTTATTTCACTTAATTTTAACTCACTAATAGTCTCCAAAATGTTAAAAAAAAAGTGAGGAGTTTAAAGTAGAGTTATACTTGAAATCAGTGATCAGGGTTTAGAAGACCCAGTTGGTGACAACCCATGCTTACAGATCTCAAGGCTTAAGGCTTTACAATGAAATACACAGAAAATCTTTTCCTCTCCAATATTATTTCTAGTTTATACTTTTATGTTTCAACAAGGACAAAGCACTTGCTTGCAGGTTTCAGCCTGTAAAGCATGTGGATGTTGACGACCTGAATCTTAGGCACTTTAGATAGTCAATTTGCAACATACATATGAAATATCAACGAAATCAAATAGAATTTTCAAAGAACGACCCAAGAATTTATCATATGTCTAGTGCTAACTAGGGAACTTCAGAGGCTAACCATATATCTTATCACCTTACGGTGGTATCAGCCCAATTAAGTACAAAACTAAGACTTTACCCAAAATTGTGTGTTCAAGGCATTTGTATAAGCAATACCAATTAGGTTAAATGTGAAGATTCAGAAAGAGGCTAAGCAAGAATACATCAGCATGTATAGATCCTTGTGTTTACTGTTTACATCAACACATTAGGGTTCTTACTAGCCAGATCAAGTGTCGGGGTAATGGTTCAAGCATATGATTCAGCCCAATATCCTCAAACATTTGTAGAAAACTAAGGTCACCAGTGCTCGTAGATTCCTTAGAAGATCGAGTGCGTATCCTTCAAGTTGCCCGTAGATCTGAGCAAAATATTTTATATGTTCGCGGTTCACCACACTATTTTTTAATCTCATCTCCAGGAGTAAACCAGTATTCTTGTACATGTTACTTGATCATTTTATTACATGCTTACTGGCCTGTTTTAAGCATTAATGGTTTAGTTAGTATCCTTGTTTCATTCATTACACTACTTTCACGCATTTTTCTGATGTTTTAATGTTTAGAAATGCGTTGGAATGCTCGGCAATACAAAATGCAAGCGAAACCTTTAGAATAGAAATAGCAAGACAAAGAATGGCCTAGTCTTTGCAAGGAACAATGCGTGTTGGACGTTCAAAATGGTATATTTGGATATTGTGCTCAGGACTGACCTAGGAAGAGCCGTTCTAGGTGGAATGATAATGATTGTGGAAAACAGAATAGAAGGTGTAGTTCTAGAGAGAACGTTCTGTCATATTTTACATTGATCCGCTATGGCAGGCAGCCACTTTGCTGCTGTAGTTAAAAAAGAACTTAGAGACTTCAATTCAACAAAACACTTTTTCAAGGTTCTAATAGTTTTTAAGACTATAAATTCTCACTCAAGATGTGTTTATGGATATGTAGAAAGATGGAAAAAAATGTCGATCTTAAACCAAATGATAAAAACATACAATATAAAAGTTAGGATTGATTAGAGGCAAAACTACATTTTTAATATAGTATTCTCATTTTAGCTCCATGCAAAACTACAATTTTTTGTTTTTAATCCCTGTAATTTATGTTGTTTATATTCTTAGCCAGTCATCGTCCCTAGCAACCTGACTTTGACAACAAAAAAAGTTATATGTATTTCCTTTTTAAGTCATTTCAAAAATATTTTAATTTTATTTCCAAAGAGCAGCTATAACCTATATTGAAATTGTGAATGATTTATTTCACTTAATTTTAACTCACTAATAGTCTCCAAAATGTTAAAAAAAAAGTGAGGAGTTTAAAGTAGAGTTATACTTGAAATCAGTGATCAGGGTTTAGAAGACCCAGTTGGTGACAACCCATGCTTACAGATCTCAAGGCTTAAGGCTTTACAATGAAATACACAGAAAATCTTTTCCTCTCCAATATTATTTCTAGTTTATACTTTTATGTTTCAACAAGGACAAAGCACTTGCTTGCAGGTTTCAGCCTGTAAAGATTCATGAACCGAGCTAGAAGGATGCTGTCCAGATACTGCTAGGGCTGCATGAGAAATATGAGGCACATCTCACAACAATGATCAGGAGGAGCTCTTTGGGTCTGGACAGTAGACACTGAGTTTTTTCTTCAGTATAAAGTTTTGTATGATCTTTTCAGTGAGAAGCTTCAGTCAAGGGATAGGTTGAAGTCTGAAGGACATGCAAGACTGAGGGGGACCAAGGGCTTTCGACCAATGGGACTAGCCATGAAACTGGCTCCAGAAGTTTGGATTGCCATGCTCGTCGGTTTGGCTGTATGCCTGTATGGTCTGAGTTTCAAGTCTTTGCAATGGATATGAAGAAAGTGATGATGAAGGTGCAAGCACGTAAGCACGAGGTCCAGCCATTAGGGAGATACTAGGAAGGCAGAGGAGCAAGGATGAAGCGGATGGTAAGGGCTGTTTCCTACCTCCCACCTTAAGGACAACGTGGTTGTCAAGGGGGGAGTGATGATAAGGACCTGAGCTAATTAGAGTTAATAATAATAATAATAGAATAATACAGAGTATCAAATATTTTGTTAGTGTACAAGCGAGGGGTCAGGCCATGTGTTACAGATTCCTTTTGGGGCATATGATATCAAAGGAAAGCAATCCGCAATAAATGGAGTAGTAGACTACAAGAATAGAAAGAATCATAGATATCAAATAATTTACTGATTTGTTGCAATTGTTATTTTTTACTACCTCCGTTCCCATTTTAACTTCCAAATGGGTTTGGCACAAAGTTTAAGATAGTGGATATTGTGTGGTGGAGAGTTGTGCAGAGGAGAGAGAAATGTGTAAGAAATGTTGTGAACCACAAATTCTTTATCAAAAAGGGAAAGTGGAAGTTTTAATTGGAACGGACGAAAAAGGAAAGTTGGAAGTTTATTTAGGAACGGAGGGAGTATTTATTTTCTTTCCATTTAGGTTGGCATAGAACAAGGGAATTGATTGTAGAATCAACTCTATATATTGGCAGAATCCTGCAGGAATAAAGTTATGCAATTTTCACCCCACATTCACTATTTTTCTCCTGGGCGGGGCGCACCTCACCTGCCACAATTCGGAGCTTCACCCCATATTTTTCTCCTAACACTTAAAGTTGTTTCCAAACTAAGTTTCCATTACCCACTCAAATTTGTTTCCAAAATTTTCCAAATAGGTTAACAAATTGTGTTACACTGTTATTGCTTCTTTTTAAATAAAAATAAGTTTTTATATTTCCAAAATTTTGTGTTACATGTTTCCAAATACACTTAAATTCCTAATACAATCAAGATTACTTTCTAATTACCATCAAACAACTACTACATAAATATTTGGAATTCATTACTAATGCTTTTATAATTTTTTACAGTCTTCTTATACAATGGAGAATGAATCTGAAAATTATCAAAAAAATAGTACTCTTGATTTTCACACTTATGAGGTACTCTTGAATCTGAAAATTTTCACACCGATGATACAAGTGTTGATGATGTGGTCCTAAAAACCATAGTTGATGAGTTTCAATCAGGTTGTATGTCAGCACAAGAAAAGAAAAGACTTCATGCAAAATGGATTGAGATGAGAAATCCAAAACTTAATGCTATGAAAGAGTCACTGATTCATGAAACGAAGAGAAGATAAAAAAAAATCAACCACTCAAGACCCAAGCGCCTGGGAGTACATTGAGAAAAAATACAAAAAATTCAAGGGTACAATATCATATCATGGTTCTCGTGGATGTGGCAAGGATATTAAAGGGAAATCTTACAGACATCAAAATCGAGTGCAATTTAATTTCGGTACTGATGTTGAGACATTCATGCTTGAGCATATTAGTAAAGTTGTGGACGTTATTGGAGGTGGACATTGCGAATATCGCTCACTTGCAGAGCTTTTAGGTTGGGGAGAAAAAGAATGGATTAGAGTTCGAAGGGAGTCAGTGGAAGAACTAGATCGTCATCGTGGGTTGTATGATCCTATATGCCATCTTGACACTATTGATGACTTGCGGGAGCAAATAGACTACTACATCAGTCCTGCACCATCCCGGCATTGGATACACATATGCCGCACACGGGGTTGATCTTCGCAATGTTATACCGGGTTATTTTAGTGCATCTTGACCTCCACGAACCGGTCACTTGTTTGCCCATGATCGCTCTTCCTGGTAGTAGTCCTCCGAAGACAATTTTTTACATTGCTCGGCTTCATTCTCAACAACACTACATAGTTGTAAGCAAACAATATTTCATAGTTCCATTTTGTTTTCACATTACCTTTTTTTTATTTTCACATTATCATATGATATGCATAAAATGACAACTTGTGTTGATGCACAAATTTGGCTTGACGACAATGCTCCGTTGCCACCCGTTATTACGACATGGTCTTACTATCATCGAATTAAACAGTTTACAGAATGTCGTAATGTTATAAGACACCATGTTACAATTGTATTGGATGATTGATATAAACCTTATATATTATAAAAACATAAATGTTTTGTTTTGTTTTTAACTTTGCACAATTCTATACTTTGTATTAGATTTTTTTGGAAATTCTATATTAGATTATATATTTGAATAAGTAACATTTTTAATTCTAGTAAACTAATTATCTTCATTTTTTATTTGTTGGACTAATTTCAAACGTGGAGGGCCCCACCTTTTTAAAACTCCACCAGCACCATTCTGATTCCACATTACGGTCATATATGTTACATGACTAGATTTATGATGTGAATAACATTTAGTTAGTATTTAATTGAACTGGTTTCGAACCAGATAGATTTAAACAAATACAATCAAATCTGACTAGACTAGCTTTAAATAATACTCCCTCTGTCCCGAAAAGGTTGGCCAAATTTACTTTTTTGAATGTCCCAAAAAGATTTGCCATTTCGATTTAGAGTAAGAAAATATGTGGTTAAAATTAATTCTTTCTTCTCTACACAAATTTCAACCACACAGTTTTCACTTTATTAATCCACGTGAAAGTCAAATTTGGCCAACCTTTTCGAGACGGGGGAAATAGTAAATATACATTTTTGACCGTTCACAACACTTGATCAGATTTTTTTTAAAAATTACATATATAATATTGATGTCATATGAAAGATCATAAAAAGATATTTAATTTGGTACTTTCTCCGTCCCGAAAAGGTTATACAAATTTTCTTTTTTGGATGTCCCAAAAAGATTTGACATTTCCATTTCAAGTAAAGACATGTCTCTCTTCTCTACACAAATTTCAACCACACAATTTTTACTTTATTAATCCACATGAAAATCAACTTTGGCCAACCTTTTCGGGACGGAGGGAGTATAATTTTTATAAAAATTGGAGCAAAAATGAAAAAATTATGACACTTTATAAAAAAAGGGGATTACATGCCACATGGCTGCATTTTATTGGATGCATACTTAATGTAAAATTGATACCGATGCAAAGCAATTTTGATTAAGGTTTTAATTATACTTAATTTTAATTAATAATTAAGAAGGTTTTAATTATACTTAATTTTAATTAATAATTAAGAAGGCTAAATTTGTCCATTACATTAAGCAACTGTGGGGTGCATGAAGCAACACCCTTTTCCGGTGACTTTTTCCGGCAAACTCATGACCACCAACATCGCCCACCACCCGCCAGCACCACCGTCCCCCTGTAGACCAGCATGTCCCTCCCCTACCCATGCCCCAGCACCCCAGCCCCACGCCCCAGCAACCCCAACCCCACTTTCCTAATCCATCTCCATAGAAATCCCTGACCAGCTCATGTCAACCCGCTACCGCCCAACCCTAGCTAGCTTCGTGACAATCCTCAACCATCCATGGCAGTCGCTACTTGCCCCTAACCCCGTCGCAATCTCGAAAACCCTAGCCCTATCCGCCTAGCCACCGTAGATCTGGAAATGAGGACAACGGGAAATCATTTGTCAGACCTCTCCCTTCCATCTTTTCGTCGATCCATCAAGGATGATGACAGACGCGGTCGTCGCACCCCCAAATCAGTTGGAAAGAGAAGAAAAAAAGAGGTATATGACGATGTAGGTGAACAACGACGTTGGTGAACGGCATGGTCGACGTCCGCGATGGGGCGGCGCGGCTGTGGCGATTTCCTTCTCAATGGCGGTGATTTCCAGAGCTCTCCAAACATAGGGCTTTAATGAAGAAGAGATGCAGGGAGCAGTCGAAGAGAGACGGAGTAACTGGGTATAGTGGCCGTTGATCAAACTGTGACCCTCTGGGTCCTGGTTGGCCCCGGTCACCTACCGGTCTGATTTTGACAAAATATGTACTACAGTATTACTACCTCCGTCCCTTAAAATTTTGTCAAAATTGACGACACGTAGAATAATAAAGTAAAAACTGTGTGGTTGAGGTTTGTGCAGAGGAGAGAGAAATAACAGAAATCACAAAATAATTGATTAAATGGGAAAGTGGTAAAGTTTTTTGGGACGTCCCAAAAAGGAAAGATGACAAAGTTTTAAGGGACGGAGAGAGTATTTCTTTGTGTGTGTACATTGACTGTTATGGGGATACATGAATTATAAATTTATTTGTACTAATAGATATGTAAACTCTGTCGTGATATCATTTTTTTGGTATCATACATGTCCCAAGCCAGGATAAAGGAGGATAGTGTTGTGGTAGGCGTGTGACGACCAACAGTATCACCTAGTCACATCATATGACATGAATCGAAATTTGAATATCGCTAATGCTAGGTCATCACCCGTAAGTGACGTGTCATCCCTCCGCCTGGGGGTGGTGTCAAATATGCAAGAGCGTGCTACACTTCATAAACCTGGGTGTGGTGATAAGAATGATAAGGTTGCTAGGTTGCCGCCCGGAAGCGGCACGTCATCCCATTGCCCGGGGATGATGTCAAATATGCAAGGGCATGGTGGGGTCCGAGATGGGGCTAAGAACAAAAGGTGAAGTGCTAGATTGCGTTTTGGGACATGGAATGTTGGGTCTCTTACGGGCAGATCTTCCGAGGTAGTCTAGGTTACAAGGAGAAGGAATATTAGCATTATGTGTGTGCAAGAAACTAAATGGGTCGGAGAGAAAGCACGTGAGATTAACCCCAGAGGTTTTAAGTTGTGGTATTCGGGGAGAGATAAGACCAGAAATGGGGTAGACATTATTGTGGCGCGTGACTATGTTGAGGGTGTGGTAGAAGTCTTCAGGAAAAACGACCGCATCATGAGCATTAACTTGGTGATAAGGGGTGAAATTGTGTCTGTGGTAAGTGACTATGCACCACAAGTGGGATTGGATGCATCTACAACTTAACAGTTCTGGGAAGATCTTGAAGACGTGGTGCGACGAGTGGCATGTGGGCTCGAGTCGTGAAGGCTTTGAGAGTATTCATGGCGGACATGGTTTTGGCACTAGGAATGAGACGGGAACTATGTAGTTTACTCGCTACTCGGTAGCAACTCGGTCAAGGGCCGAGTAGCGAGTAGGAACGATTACTCGGTGATTACTCGGCCTTGTATTAATTAAATATAATAGTATATGTGCCCGAAATTATAGAAATACAGTAGTCTTAAAATAGTCTTTAAATTGTCTTAAAATGCATAGAAGTGAACAAAAGGATAGAAATCCTATTATCCTAATGATGGAGTAGCAAAAGTCATAAAGCAAAAGTGATAAAGCAGTCAATCATCTAATAAGTCGGTCTGATATTAATCTTCATTGGGTTCAAGGTCGTGATTTTCTTCTTCATCCTCCATGTCCCCAAATAGATCTTCACCAAATAGATCTTCAGTAGTCAGATTCCCAACTTGTTCTTCCTCTTCCACTTCCGGGTCATCTAAATCAATATCAAGCAGTCTATACGCAGACTGTGATGCATTCACATTCTCAGAGTCTATACGTAGTATGAAAGGAACTTGGCTAAGAACTTAGCTTAGAATTCAATGGTCAACAATTGCGGCTGCATCAGTTTGAATAATCTCATGATTGATTTAATTTTTTTTAACAAGAGGAAGAAGAAACGAGGGAAAGAATTACCCGTTGATGTCACAATCACAGATCCTCGCAGTAGCCCTGTAGCACTTGCAGGTGACTCCCAACAACATTGTAGCAGTCGCAGCTCGTAGCGATTGGAGCTCCTAGAAGTAGCAGTCGCAGCTCCAAATGATGTAGCAGCAGTAGTTGAAGCCCCAAACGATGACCGATTAAATTTTTAGGTTTTGTGCGCAGTTTTTTTATATAGCGAGTGATAGTGAGTAACTCGTCAATTTGACCAACTCACCGAGTTGACTAACTCGCCGAGTACTCGGTGAGTAACTCGGAAAATTAATTCGGGCCGAGTTAAGGTGCTACTCTGCAAGGTAAGAGGCTGAGTAGAGAGTACTCGTTGAGTACTCGCCGAGTAAATAACTCAGGGCGGGAAAGAACATTTTGGATTTTGCCTTGACGTATGAGTTGACTATAATGAACACTTGGTTTAAGAAAAGACTCTCACCTTGTAACCTATAAAAGTGGAGCTAATAGTACCCAAATTGACTACTTCTTAGTACGGACCACTTGGAGAACTAGCTACACTGATTGTAAGGTTATTCCCGGTGAGAGTGTTGTCACTCAGCATGGGATGCTTGTGCTTGACTTTCGAGCTAAGAACCATAGAAGACAAGTTAAACAACAAGTGGAGCCAAAGATAAAGGGGTGGAGGCTTGAGGGAGATCTTCAATAAAGCTTTACACACAAAATGGTCGGTGAAGATGTATGGCGTATTGATAATGAAACACATGTGGATGATGTGTGGTTATCAATGGAGTTGACCATTAACAAAGTAGCAAAGGAGGTACTTAGAGAATCTAAAGAATGTCTGCCACCTAAAAAGGACACGTCTTGGTGGAATGATGAGGTGAAACAAGCCATAAGGAACAAAAGAGATTGCTACAAAAAGTTGGGGACAAGTTGGAGTGATGATAACATAGAAGCATACAAGGAGGCTAAAAGACAAGCAAAGAAAGCCGTAAGGAAAGCATGAAGGAAAGTGAACAAGGAGTTGTATGAAAAGTTGGACTCTAAGAAAGGAGAACTAGATATTTATAGACTTGCTTGTCTTCGTGATCGCAGGACTTAAGATATTGCAAAAGTTAAGTGTGTGAAGGATGTCGATCAGAGGATATTAATGGACGACGGAGAGATAAAAGAGAGGTGGAGATCATACTTTGATACACTATTCAACGGGAACACAACGCAAGATATCGGTGATTTGTCTATACCAGATTGTATGGTGAATCGTGATTTTGTGAGACGGATCCAAACAACGGAAGTTAAAGAAGCTCTGAGGAAGATGGGATGGAAGAAAGCAGTGGGTCCAGATGGCATACCGATCGAGGCTTGGAGAAGTTTGGGGAGAGAGAGGCGTCAAGTGGTTAACAAGTTTCTTCAACATGATTTGGAGAAACAACAAGATGCCAACGAGTTGGAGGAAGAGTACTCGTATCCCCTTATTTAAGAATAAAGGTGATGTACAAGAATGTGCCAAATTTCGAGGGATTAAGCTTATGAGTCACACCATGAAACTTTGGGAGCGAGTGATTGAGTAAAGACTTTGAAGAACTGTGAAGATTTCAGAGAATCAATTCGGTTTTATGCTCAATCGCTCAACAACTGAGGCCATTCACCTTCTTCGGCAACTTATGGAGAAGTATAGAGACGCTCATAATGATCTGCATTTGGTGTTCATTGACTTAGAAAAGGCATATGATAGGGTACCTCAAGAAGTTCTTTAGTGGGCCTTAACTAGGAAAGGCATATCACGCAAGTATATCAACATCATCATGGATATGTATGAGGATTGTACTACAAGTGTCAATACTAGTGTACGAAGGACTCGAGAGTTCCCTATTACTATCGGAGTGCACCAAGGATCGGCTCTGAGCCCTTTCTTATTTGTCGTAGCCATGGATGAACTTACGAAGTCAATTCAAGACGATATACCGTGGGTGCATGATGTTTACCGACGATATTGTATTGATTGATGAGACGCAATCAGGTCTTAAAGTAAAGTTGGAAGTATGACGACAAACATTGGAGAATATGGGTTTCAAACTAAGTCGGAGCAAGACAGAGTACATCGAGTGCAAGTTTGGTAGAGGTAGAATCAGTGGTAATAGCGGAATTACTCTGGATGGTAAGGAGATACCAGTCAGTGATATGTTCCGTTACTTGGGCTCCATAATTCAGAAGGACGATGAGTTAGATGGATATGTATCCCATAGAATCAGAACAGGGTGGATGAAGTGGAAGAGTGCGTCAGGATTTCTATGCGATCAAGGTATGCCGACTAGACTGAAGGGTAAATTTTATAGGACAGCAATTAGGCCTGCATTACTGTATGGAGTAGAGTGTTGGATGGTGAAACGATGTCACATTCAAAAGATGAGTGCGGCAGAGATGCGCATGCTGCGTTGGATGTGTGGGCATACTAGGAAGGACCGCGTGAGTAATGAGACAATCAGACAAAGGGTGAGGGTAGCACCTATTGAAGACAAGATGCGGGAGTTGTGCCTACAGTGGTTTGGTCATGTTCGTAGAAGACCGAGTGATGCACCTGTCAGACGAGTTGAGATGTGCGGAAAAGAGGCAGAGAAGAGAGGGAGAGGAAGACCCAAACAGACGTGGATTAGGGGAGTTCAAAGTGATATGCTTCTTCTGGGATTGGATGAGGGCATGACTTTGGAGAGAGCTAAGTGGAGGGCGGGTATTCGTGTGGAGGAGTGATCTTGTATCATCTTTTCCCCTCATCTTTTTTCCTTGTTTTTATCCTTATATATAAGCATTATTTGTATCCTTTTTATTTTATCATTTTTATGTATATTCATCTCTTTTTATATTATCTTTTTATAATAGCTTATCTTTTTTATCTTTATTTTTATCGATTCATGTAAGCCGACCCCAATATTTTTTGGGACTAAGGCTTGGATGTTGTTGTTGTTGTAATAGATATGTACCTCGTTGTAATGGTGAACCCCTTTAACATGTGGCTTGGTGTTAAGATTACTTTCTATTCGGTAACAAAAAATGCTTCCATATCGTCCATCTTCTTATGAGGGTCATGAGTATCAACATAATTTTTCTTCATGAAGAGGTTATGTAGGACATGTATTCGGCTTAAGGAGGCATAGCTCAAGTGGAGCATCCTGTGACCTACATGGCTACAAACAATAGTTGTATGTTTGAGTCACCTCGAAGGGAAGGTGGGGGACTACAATGGTTTTTCTTTTGTGTGGGTATAAAATGTGGGGACAACATGTTAAACTTTGGGAGGGAGGCTGAAATACTAGATCCCCTTTTATGGCTTGACCCTAACTTATATCTGTAACAATTATTAAGGCATCTAGATCAATAACACAATAGTATATGGAGTACTTTGACTATAGGTGTGCTGTATATAAATGTGGATATAAACACAATGTAATACCGCATTTGTTCCTTGATCCTCATATGAGTGCACAAAAAAGTCAGCATCTTTTTTCAATGGCCATCCCAAGTCAAAACATTTATCAGACCTGATGTAGTCCCAACCATTTGAGAGGAGTAAATTTGCAATTTGAGATTAACTGGAGAATTGAACAAAACTTAATTGATGAACATATTTACCAGAAGTATTCATTCAGATCATCATAATTTCTCCAAGCTGAATGACTTGCTTTCCCACCTTTGTGTCTCAGAGCTTCCTTTTCCAACAAAGATCACAGTTTGAGTCATAAAGAATCAGCAAGTTTCATTGTATCAGTCATCACCACAAATTAGAACTTACCTCTGATATCACATTATATATAGGTGTTACAACATCCTTTAGAAATGATTCCTCACCAGGAGGCTCAGCCTGATATGAAGCTCCTGAGACATTACTAACATTGCCATAAAGTCCTTCAACCTCATCAGACATCTACATTGTTGAAAACATAAAACTTCTTTTCATCCATGTGGTTGAAAGTAACAGAGAAGAATCAAGAACATTTTATATCCATCAATTTTACTTTCATATTGTTCAATTAGCCATACATAAAACACAATATCCAATTCATTCTTGAAGGTTCCAGTGGGTTGTCATCTTCCAAGCTATAAATACTAACACAACCCAACAGAGAATCAGATCCCAATCTAGTTGGTGCCGCTTCAGAGAGTTTTACATTGGATGTTAACCAACAAAGCCGTTCTCTTTTATATGGGAAGGTATATAAGCATTGAATAATAGTGGCATTATTACAGGTAATGTATATACAAATACATAGCAGATTTGGATGAGTGATAGTGTGTGTCTATATGAAATGTCTATCGGGTTGACCTTTTAGGATGGATTAACATGGTATCACACTCCATCCCGATTGTGATTTGATTGCTTGTTTAGTGCTCATGATTAAGTGTACCTTATTTAGGCTCAGTTTACCCATTTACACCCAAAGTTGTCCAATCCAGTTTCGTCTAAAGGGCTTGTTGAAAACTTTATCTAACACCGGAAAGACATAAATTATTATCCTATTTAAATATTTACACTTTCCTATTAGGGTTGTCCCAATTGAATCTTTATGTTTCCGCATTTGCAAACATTACCCATTAAATTGTCCTTATTACCACTATTCTCACCTTCTCTCTCAAACCTTTTATATAGTAATCCATCTTTTCTTTATTCATCCCCTCTCTCCATATGTCTACTCATTCTTCTTCCAATCTTACCCATCTACTCCCAACAAAATCGCCATGAACAATCCGGACAGGCCAAAATCATAAAAAAAGGAGGGATGTCATTGAGGTGTTTCGGCCCCTACCAGTAAGGGTGGAATATGTGGAGAGGCTATCCCCAATCCAAAAGACTCAAAGAAGCAGATTAAGAATGGAGGTTTGAGGGGGGGGGGGGGGGGGGTGTGTGAACAAGCAGATGGAGTGAGTTCGAAATGGGGTTGGATGGCTGGTGGTGCAAGCCGCAGGGAAGAGCAACAAAAGTACAGGGGCAGACAGAAAAGTGTTGAATATTGGTGGACTAAGAGGGGTAAGACCAGAGGAGTAGGATAATTTATCAGAAGGGGTTGCGCGTACATAGAGCGGAGAATTGTTGGGGCGAAAAAATGGGTTGTGGTTGTTCGTGAAAATTGAATAAAACAAGAAGGGTAGGTAATATGGGAAAATTGTGACTAAATACTTGGTGTCCTAAAAACACAGTGCAAAAAGCAAACGTCAAGATTCAAGCAGGACTGAGGGAGTACTTATAACATTATGAGTTACTCCTCTTATCATTTTATGGTCTTGTTTTGATTTGGCACAATTATAAAAAAAAGGTTAAAAAGCAAATGTATGAGTAGAGAAAAGTGAAATGATATGAACCACATATTTCTTTCTAAAAAGGGAAACAAGACACTTATTTTTGGACAACTCAAAAAGGAATGTAAGATGCATAAAATGAGACGGAGGGAGTATTAAATACTACGTAGTATATAATAAGCTACTTCTCCTATTAGTTTGAACTTTTATTATAATATCTCAAATCTTAACGGCCTGAAATAGCTCTTTACGGATTATAGACTTGTAGTTGCACTGTAACTTCATGTTTGAATAGTGAGTAACTCATTTTCTGCATGACATTAAAAAAAGTGTTTATTCCCTTGGCACTAGTGCACTACTACTTTATCATCTGTGTCTTTCACGGGAGTATGGGTATCCCATTAAGATTATTTCCTTAATGTCCCATTAAGTATGGGTTGTCCCATTAAGATTATATACACCACAATTAACAAATAAATTAATTCAAAATAGTTTTGACCAGTACATTTAAGCCGTCGTATATCATAGGTGAGGGGAACACAGATCTACACAATCCTTTACAGTTGTAATTGCTCTTGTAGTAACATATTGAACATAAAGGCAAACCTACACAGTGGAATATATAGCAGAGACATTCCGGCATGAATCGGATATTTGAAGCTTCACCCCAAATAAGGAGATAAAGACCAACGTAAACAAGATCTAGCTGTTGCTGCTTACTACCATCCTGTGAGACTGTAGTCACTCTACATTGCAAGAGATATAGATAGAAGCTTAGCAAGAAATGGGACACACTAAATTCTTTGAAGTGACATCTCATACTGATTTGGGCCAGAAATTTGAAATCTACCGAAGAAAGGTTTACCACTTTGTGGACAAGGCTCATGGTCTGCTAGCAACTTAGCAAGTACACAAACCACTTACCTCTTGATATTTGACGGGCGATGCAAATATTTGCACCATGAATTGTAGTTTTTGAATATTTTGTCATGCAGTTTCTTAACCGTGTTGCTGAACTGCAATATAAATAAAATTATTATTTTCATGTTCAAATTGCAACATGCCTAGAGTGAGAAAACTCTTACTACAAACTCTAAGAAAAGATAAATATTCCATCTCAGTGATGAAACTAAGAATTTACTGAAAACGTCATTTACTTCATAGTCGTTGCCATGTAAGCTCTTATCTCTGATGTGCATATTGGCAAGCAGCAGTACTAAGTGCTCCCTTTGATTTGCTACATTTGCTTTCTTCATTCAGTTCAGAGGGGGTCACAAGCAGAAAACATGAAGAAATGGAGAAAAGTTAAACAAATCATTGTATGACACAAGAGAAGTATGCAGTACAAAGCTTCACAGATATAAAATTGCTTTGGTGGCAGCTGTGCTATGGATTTTAAGAGATTGCATTTTGAGCAATCAAATTCTAAAGAGTCGACCATATTACGTTTGACAACGAAAATTAGGGAAATTTCGAACCATGCCTGAATCCAGATCACATGTTTAAACATGCTAACAAGTCTGATCAGTGGAGCTTAACTTACCTGAAATCCAAATCTCAATCCCAGCCATTCAAAAATGTCATTTTTTTCAGGCATTCGAATAGCTGCCAGTGATTGTTTGATCTGTTTAAGGATGAAAATATTAGTCAATAGATTCAGATAACATGTAGAGTTAAGTTACATAGCCACATCCATATATAGGCAGTGAAACAAATGGCTCCGCAGTACTGACTATAGAGACGTTTAATAAATAAAGCTTAGAATCCAACTTGCACCTACCTCAGGAAGTTCCATTATGGCAGGTTTAACGGCAATGGCATAAATTGGAAGAATATTATAGTGCTCATACTGTTTTTTTTTCTCTGCTACATCTTTGGCATACATGCGTGCCTACAAGCATGATTCAAAAATAGGTTATGCTCACTACTCTAAGAGTGGGATATACCCAAAAGATTACCCAAAAACTTATAAAGGTAATAGAGCTAACCTCTTGATCCAAATCTCTAGGTGATTTATCTATCTCGAATGTCAAGTAAACATCATACAATACGCTTGCAATTTGACACAACTTCACCATCTCTTCTCTGAAATGGGAATATTTTATTCAGAAAAACTAGGAAAATATAGTAGAATGAAACACAGAGCTACAGATGGAGTTTTGAGCAAGTTCTCACGGTTTTTTTGTCAGGTGGCCATCTTTGATATTTTTCACATAGTACTTCTTGTAATAATCTAGTGCATATTTACTTTGATTTGGAATATATATTTCCTGCAAATATACTACCATGAGCCTTATTTTATAGGTATTAGAGATTCAGATTTCAGGTAATGATAAAAATAAAAATTAAATAAAAATAATGAGAGATCTAAATTATTCTAGGACACTTTCATACACACTTAATCATTCGCTAAGAGATCAGTAACAGTTGGGGAGTCGTACGCTCGCTTGTTTTGGCAATAATTTAGAAAGTTGTCGCACGGAAGATCAACCTGGTTCTCTAAATTATTGTACTCTACGCCTTGAGAGTGATAAGAATTTAGTATTGACTAGCGTCACTCAATTAAATAATTTTCATGTGATTAAGCCTGATCAGCCCCGAAATCTAATTACCCTGGAATCAATCCACGTTCCCTTCCGTCATCAATTGGAAGAGCCCTTCAATTTAGTTTCTTTTCGCAGCATTTAATTTCCCAAAAAAACCAAGTCTCGCATATCGCATTTATTTTATTTATTTATTTTTAATTGCTGAATTTATTTAATTCCCCAATATCTTTTGGGACTAAGGCTTGGATGTTGTTGCTGAATTTATTTAATTCTTGATTCCCCTTTCTGTCCCTGTGGAGACGATACTCGTACTTTAGCCCTATACTGGTACATATTTTAAGTGCGAGAAAGCTCACATCATGGTGTAGTCTAGAGGATTTTTACTAGTTTTTACTAGATAACTTGATTACACATCTACACTTTAGACTTTCCTTGGATTCATTTGTATGTTAATGCTCCTCTCTTACATGTTTCTTCTCAATTGTAGAAACATATACACCGTCGGGAGGTTGATCCTGTGTTGTAGAATTGTATGACAGGAACACCAAAATTTAAACTGTCCCACGAGAGATGCATAGATGGTATGAGGTCCGGTGGAACATGATTTGGTATAACTTTATAATTTATATACTGTTATAAGATAAGGTTTTGACATAATGAGTTGTTAAGATGTGGGATGTGGATCATTTTCATCCCACCACTACATCGATTCAAAGTAGCTATTATGGCATGTAACATGTTGCCTTATATACTGCTTAGAGACATCTAACAATTAGTCTTTTCCATTAACACTAAAGATAATAAAAGTGACATCTTTACTTGGGTTTCATTTACAACATATTTGACACGACAACTTTCAATTCTCACATTGTGATTGACAAACATGTTAAGCACTTGCTATAAATCCATAATTCCAATTCCTCTTTTTGGAAATGTTTATATTCATGTGCTTTTGCACGGGAATATTTTATGCCCTATGTAGGTCACTCAAGGGACATGCAATATTTGTTTTCTATGGTAACAAGTCTTCATCATATTTGGACAACTATGTATCTGAAGTCCTGATTACACCCCCTAGAAGTCGTTCAATGATTTTCAATGGCACACACCGGTAACTAAATTAATGTTTATAATCTTTTCCATTTACTCTAGCATCCAACCTATAAAACTTATATGCGAATTCATAATTTTGGCTATACTGATCAACATTTTATCCATAAATTAAGGCTATAAAATTTATATTGGGCATGCGGCCTGGATTTGATTTATGAATGACACAAGAGATTTTATTATACGGAGTACTAAATTATAATAGCACACAACTCAAGAAGTTTTAGAAGACAAACTCCTCCACATGTGCCATCGACACTTTCCAATGTTTATCTTCATTACTAGGATGGTATGTACTGCAATCAGAAAATCTGTACGTTATTCAGGTTCACTCTGATTCTCAGATGTACCAATTTGTCCATTTCGGACCATAGCTCTGAATCATACTCCAGAATCAAATATAAAATTTAAGTTGTCAATGCTCAACCTACAGCTGCGGCCTGCAGACCAGATAGCCTGGTTCTACACTTCTACTAGCTAGAGCAGATAATATCTTTTGTTATTCGCGGAGTGACAAACTAAATATTAGAGGAAACTACAAAGTCTCCCCCCTTTTTAGCGAACAGCACAAAGAATAAAATATGCAAACTAAAATATTGTGGTAATCTATGACAAATAAGTAAATGTAAGACATCATGTGCTCATATGTTATCATTAAATCACTCATAAAACTTGAAATGTAACAACACATTGGAGCCAAAAGGCATTTGTAGGATTAGATTATTGGAAAATATATGCCCACAAGAATTAAGAAGATGTGAGAAAAGAAAAACATAGGATACAACATACAGTGTCTACCTTTTCAACTAAGCTTAGCAGGTAAGTCTTGTATTGTCTAACACCACGTCCATTTGAATTCGCATCCAAAGTATGAGCCTTCTCAAATGCAACAAATCGGCCTTCTCAAAAAAATAAAAATTCAGTGAAAGAAGAACACGATTATCCGTAACAACAAATCACCACGCCCTAGACATAAAGTCAGTTATAAAGAACTGAAAGTCACAAGTTTACAATCACACACATTTTTAAAACTAAACCGACAAATAAGTTAAAGTATCAATTACTCCATATGCCATCCATTCTCATTCATGTTCCCCAAATTTATGCATTTTTTCATGCAAATATTAATTCCAAACTATTTTTCATTTTAGAAACTACAAATCAAAATTTCAGAACAATATCTATGTAAACTTTTTTAATTAAAACCCCCAATTTGAACAAATCCCATTGCAGTATCAATAATAGTGCAAAATTTGTATCAAGCTCTACATCTTTCATAGTTCCACCAACATTAAGGCAAAAAGAAGCCTTTGCAAAATTGGCTTCTGATCATGGAAAGCTGGTCAAAATCAATGAATTGGAGTGAGGTTAACGATTAGATGAATTGAAATTGGTAAAAGGTGCCCAATTAGGTGGATTGCTTAGAAATACCCATTCACTTGTGATGCTGAATTAATGGTTTTTTGACTCATTATAACTTGGTCATGTCAGGGAGCATAAAGAAGCTATCAGAGAATGCAATATTTTATAGCAATGATGTCCTCCATTGAAGTTAGTTATTAGGCCTACGTGCACCAGCTTCACAGGCATATACAAAGACATAAACGTTTATAGTAATAGAAGGAAACCAAACCACAACCCAATTCTTTAATCAGGACAGCCGTTGTTTTTCCCAAAATACTAAATAGGACATACTCACTCCTAGAAAAGAAGTTTAAACTTCTTTTGTATTCTTCTCTTAAGACTAAATAAGTCATATTTTAGAAATAAAATAGAATAAGCCCTTGTTTGTGAACTTGTTTTACTCTTATTATTATTGACAGTTTCTTCAAAAAGGAAAAGCTATAACCGTTCATTTGAACACTAGAAGTACAGAAAGGGACATTGATGGAGAAAATGGGAGGAAAAAGCTGTACTTACACAAATAAGCAATTTTACTATCTTCTTTCTCCAATTCATCTGCTGCGCGGAGGATGGGAGCAATGGATTCTATTGCGGGGGGGACTTTCTCACTATTGAACTTGGTCCAGTCTTCTCCTACAGCGGGATCCAGCATAGTGCCTGCCCTAGTCAACCGCCGGGAGCCCATACCCGACTTAGTACCACTGGTACTGGCCATGACTTGAGATTGAGAATCACCAGCAGAAATAACAATATACGATTATAGCCCCTCTTCTTCTGCTTCGAATCCAGAGAAAGGGATTGAGGAAGAAGAACAAAGGGCAAATGTACATCGGCTGCATCACGGATCAAGTGCTTATATATACACGGAAGAGGGCAGTGGAGGATTTACTTTGGAGAATTGCGAGGCAAGTGAGTGGGGAGCTTTATTAGCTTTTGGATTCTCAAACGGCAAGTAAAGAATTGGATGTGATGGTACGCCCCCTTTAATTCAAATTAACCTCAATGCCCGCTCGAGATTTTGGTTTGTTCGTCTAACAAATTGTCTCTGTCAAATGTCTTTCTTCTTCTCCTTTTGTGAAAGAGGGAGAGATGGCTTGTCCAGCAAATGAAGCCCTCATCGTCATCGAGTTTGGTTTGCTTTTTCAGTAAAGAGAGAAGAAAAAAAGTGCACTTTACTTTGGTTTGCTTCTTCCGTCGGCCTTGCCTCGGGAGAAACGCAAGCCGCTGCTCCATAAAAACCAAGATACTAAGATAGGGTGGCGATTGGCGAAAGCCACTGTTAGCCATCGCAGGACCGCACTGTGCTAAAAATGTCAGGTGGGAGAGGAAAGAATATTCTTGTAATGGTTTTTTGGTATTTGGGGTACTATCCTCTCATTTTACCTTTTTGAAGAGTCCCATTAAAATTGTCTTCTTGTAAAGATTGTGTGGCTCTAAATCATTCTTACTTTATTCTTATTTTATAAATTTAATATCAACCACACAAACTCATTTTTTCTTAATAAACGTGTGACCTTCTCTCGTCCCAATTTCAGTGGGAGGGAGGTAGTAGTTTGGTTGAGAAATGAAAAAGATTTCGGGTAAATACAAGGTTTAGGACAATATTACTAAAAGTTTTGTCCTATTGCCACCTTGGGGTGTACTCTCTCCTCTTAGCGTTCACCTCAAAATCAGAATAGTATTGGGCAAAGAACTCCTGTCGGAAATTCTCCCAAGTCACGGTCTTGTCATACTTGCCCTCGGCCCCATCCCACCATGTGGACGCCATCCCTTCAAGCAATCTCACTGACATCCTGAGTTTAAACTCGGGGGTGAGTTGCATATCAAGGGTTGCTTCATTCAGCCTCTTGATCCATTCCGCGGCAACCGAGATGTCACCCGTTCCATTGAAGGGTTTGCACCCCAAGTCCCTCGCCTCCTTGAGAAATTTTGAGATCCTTATGATTGGACCTCCATCACGCCGGCCCCCATGTGGTTCAATGTGGGCCCTAGTGTAATACCCCGAAAATTTGAGAGAATTTGGGAAATAATTAAAATTGTGTTTCATATTATTTACACGGTCTTTAGGTCATTTATTATGTTTGATTTAGTGTTTGGGACAAAGGGGAGGTCCAAATGGGGGAGAAACGGGGAAAAAACTAAGGTTTGGGGCGTTTGGGGGTCACGCACGGCGTGCGTGGAAGGTATGCACGCGTGCGTTCCTGTTGTATCCTAATACAACTCAAACTTCGGAAATTCACTATAAATACATCTCTAATCCGATTTTCCTCATTCAAAAAACTCTAGGACCGCCTCTTCAAGATCTATCCCTTCCAGCTCTTCAATATTAACGTATCCAGCACGAAATTTTATGCCAATGATGAGATAAAACAATCCAATATTCCGGTAAGTGCGTTTGTTGCCTAATTCGCGTCGTTCATCCGTTTCCTAAATTTCGTTCTCCTAAATTGAGATCCTTCGAACCTATCACTTCCTAGGTACGTGTGAATGATCCATCAAGCTAGGTTTCACGTTTAGGATTCGTTGCTAGCCTCGAGGTAAGGACTATTGCAACCAAAATTACTATTTTGCCCCTATATTGTATAAACTAGGGTTTGTGCTATGATTTGAGTTTCTTTCTGAAATTTTATGGATAATTCGGCTATAATAGTATGAGTATGATGATGTACGCTTTTCTGGTAATTTATGAACGTGTGATTTTTGGTGAATTTATCAAATCAGTTTATCATGGCTAGAATTGTGATTTTTGATGATTGTTCTTTTGGGATTGGAAAATTTTGGTGATTGTTTTGGTATGAGTTGAAGAATGATTTGAGACTATTATAACTGGTTATATTGAAAATATATTATGGGTTCAGAATACTCCAATTTGATTATTTTGGTGGTAGTAGTAAATTACTAGGAAGTTAGAAAAGAAGTGATTTTCTTTAGAAGTTTAAAGAGAAGAGATACTAAGAGATTTTTCAAGAGAAGTTTAAGATTTTAGCAAAAAAGTGATTTTAAGAAAAATCAAGGAGAAAAGTATTTTGGAAGAGTGCGTCATTTTTATATGATATTATACAAAAATCTATTTTTAGTCAAACCTGATTATTTTACGGGGTTGGGTAGTACTTACTTAGCTCTAAAGCTAATTTTTGTTATTTCTCTTGTCTCTCTCTTCTCCCTTAAATTTTATCAGGTGATGAGTTGGATACCTATGTGGATTGACGGATTGCTCGAGTTTGAGTGCGAATTAGAAGATGCCTTAGTTAAATCTAGTCATAAAACAAACATTTACTTATTATTACATTAGTTTTTAATGTTTTACTTTGAGTTGCCTGTGCATTCGGTTAAGAGATGACCGAATGTGGCGGTAACACCCATTCCCCTATTTTAGACTTCCGCTGTATTTCTTCAACTCTTTGATGAATGAATAAAGTATTTCTTTTAAATATATCAATGTTTTGGGCGGGAAATTTAGGGGTGTTACAAATTGGTATCAGAGACTTTGTTTTTCAAAATCTTTTAAAGATTTTCAAAAAACTTTTTGAATTGAAATATTATTTTCATTAATTAGGATTAATGAATCTTATTAGGGAGGAATTTTATGGCTTAGGCGCGTGTGAGATTGTGTGATTGATTTTTTGTTGTTGTATTTTGTGATGTCTTGGATTGATTTGAGATTTGTGAATTGAATGGAATTTTTCCAATGGTTGCTTGTAGGTGTTCCTTATCCTAGAGTATATTGTGAGTTAGTAAACTTGAGAATAGTTATGAGTATATTCCTAGTATCCTATATCTTGTGATCTTAGGTAGAACTTGTTAGGGATCTGTAAGAGTTCCTAGTATTCTGAACTTTGCGTCTCTCTTTTGTAAGAACTATGGCAACTCATAGGAACGTGGTCGAGGTAAGTAAACTCTTAGTATTCTATATCTAGAGCCCTTTTGATAAGGTATTTCCTTCAGTGTTTCATCTGGACTGTGTTTTGACTTGAGCTTCGGGGACGAAGCGTCCTTTAAGGGGGGGAGAATGTAATACCCCGAAAATTTGAGAGAATTTGGGAAATAATTAAAATTGTGTTTCATATTGTTTACACGGTCTTTAGGTCGTTTATTATGTTTGGTTTAGTGTTTGGGACAAAGGGGAGGTCCAAATGGGGAAGAAACGGGGAAAAAACTAAGGTTTGGGGCGTCTGGGGGTCACGCACGGCGTGCGTGGAAGGTACGCACGCGTGCGTTCCTGTTGTATCCTAATACAACTCAAACTTCGGAAATTCACTATAAATACATCTCTAATCCGATTTTCCTCATTCAAAAAACCCTAGGACCGCCTCTTCAAGATCTATCCCTTCCAGCTCTTCAATATTAACGTATCCAGCACGAAATTTTATGCCAATGATGAGATCAAACAATCCAATATTCCGGTAAGTGCTTTTGTTGCCTAATTCGCGTCGTTCATCCGTTTCCTAAATTTCGTTCTCCTAAATTGAGATCCTTCGAACCTATCACTTCCTAGGTACGTGTGAATGATCCATCAAGCTAGGTTTCACGTTTAGGATTCGTTGCTAGCCTCGAGGTAAGGACTATTGCAACCAAAATTACTATTTTGCCCCTATATTGTATAAACTAGGGTTTGTGCTATGATTTGAGTTTCTTTCTGAAATTTTATGGATAATTCGGCTATAATAGTATGAGTATGATGATGTACGCTTTTCTGGTAATTTATGAACGTGTGATTTTTGGTGAATTTATCAAATCAGTTTATCATGGCTAGAATTGTGATTTTTGATGATTGTTCTTTTGGGATTGGAAAATTTTGGTGATTGTTTTGGTATGAGTTGAAGAATGATTTGAGACTATTATAACTGGTTATATTGAAAATATATTATGGGTTCAGAATACTCCAATTTGATTATTTTGGTGGTAGTAGTAAATGCTACTTTTGGGAAGTGGTTGTTTGGGTTAAACCCTCTTTTTGGAAAGTGTTGTGAGATCAAATCTTTTGGGATAAATTATATATTTTTAAATGTATAATTTGGTATGAAAATTTACATATATATTCTGGAGTTATAATTATCCTTATTGGATTATTTTGAATATGGTATTAAATACTATTTTGGAACTAGTTTTGGATAAACCCTAAATTGTAAGTTTCTCTGTCAATCCAAAATTTGTTTCCTCGTATTATATGCTTATTATGCATTATGTGATTAAGTGTGAATTGTGAATTTTGTGTATGTGATTTTGAGAAGATATTATATATATGGTAAATCAAGTACTTTTGGGCTATTAAATATTTTTAAATACCTTTGAGATTTTTTTTAGAGGAATTAAGAAGTATTTTTGAAGTATTGTTAAGCAAAGATAAAATTTACATTTTCATAAGAAGATAGCATCTCGGGAGTAATCCGAGGTGTCGGTTTTTCCACATCCGGATAAATGTGGAGGGTGATTAGAGCTACTACTACTAAGAAGTACAGTTTGGATCTATGATCCCTTTTAAGTAAGATTTGGATCTATGATCCCTTTTAAGTGAGATTTGGATCTATGATCCCTTTTAAGAAGAAGTTATAGTAGTAGTCCCTAATCATTCAAGAATTTTAGAATTGGGGTGGTTGGGTTCCGACCACTCGGGATGACTTACTACTCGGAGGGCTTGGAATCCCTTTTAGGGGGTGTGCACACTTAAGGTAGTCGTTTCGTTTCCAACAGAGCAGTTGTGGTACCGGCACTTGTTCGGGGTGGCCGTCCGTAACCACGGTCCACCGGGCTCTACCGAAAGGTTAAACACCACCCTTCTAAATTACTAGGAAGTTAGAAAAGAAGTGATTTTCTTTAGAAGTTGAAAGAGAAGAGATACTAAGAGATTTTCCAAGAGAAGTTTAAGATTTTAGCAAAGAAGTGATTTTAAGAAAAATCAAGGAGAAAAGTATTTTGGAAGAGTGCGTCATTTTTATATGATATTATACAAAAATCTATTTTTAGTCAAACCTGATTATTTTACGGGGTTGGGTGGTACTTACTTAGCTCTAAAGCTAATTTTTGTTATTTCTCTTGTCTCTCTCTTCTCCCTTAAATTTTATCAGGTGATGAGTTGGATACCTATGTGGATTGACGGATTGCTCGAGTTTGAGTGCGAATTAGAAGATGCCTTAGTTAAATCTAGTCATAAAACAAACATTTACTTATTATTACATTAGTTTTTAATGTTTTACTTTGAGTTGCCTGTGCATTCGGTTAAGAGATGACCGAATGTGGCGGTAACACCCATTCTCCTATTTTAGACTTCCGCTGTATTTCTTCAACTCTTTGATGAATGAATAAAGTATTTCTTTTAAATATATCAATGTTTTGGGCGGGAAATTTAGGGGTGT